TGTGCATTTGGGTCACTTCGCACGACAGGAACATTTTGTAAATGGTCATTTTGAGAATTTTGATTAGTAGGGACATTTAGAAGCTGTGTGTTTTGAATTACCTTTGGGTTATTTGAGTTAATAGGGACATTCTGTATTCCTTTATGAGTTTCTGAATTAAGCTGAGAAGGAATATTCGATAGCTTTCCATTTTCATTAGTAAGTAGATTGTGTAAATTGAGATCTGTTTGTTGTTGTTCAGGAATTATCACAGCTTCAGAAAGCATTGAATTAGGCTGTACAGTTTTCTCAACATCTCCATCGAAATACACAACAGAAGATCCTGGTCCATAATCAGCAATTTGACCGGATTTTAAATTGTAACTTATTCTGGAAAGTTCTTTTTCAAACATTTTTCTAGCCGGTGATTCCGGTGGTAATTTTTCTAGGTGGAATTCCTGTGCTGATATTTTTACTGGTATATTTAATGAGACGGAATTCTTTTCATCATTTGTTCGATTACGTCGAAAAAATTTTATAATGTGATTATCAGGTTGTGATACGTTGTATAATACTATAATGGCTAGCGTCAATGTTCCCGCTCCAATAAATAATGGTATCGTCTTAACCATGGTATTAACTAGAAATTCAAATAACTAAAATTAATCAAAACAATAAACTACACCATATATAAACTCTTAAAATTAAAATAATTATTAGTAATATATTTTTTATTCAAAGCAAACAAAATAATTTTGTACATCAATCAAGGCACTTGCAACCTTGAAAACGTTACGCATGTATAACATAATAAAAAGAAAATAGTTACAGTAGTAAAATATAACAGTACTTTAAATAAAAAGATGAAACGACTTAACCACATTTCGTTACTGTGATGGAATATTACAACCATTATATCGTGTAGGTCATGGAGAAAGATATATTTAGAAACAGTTTTAAACATCTGTTTAGCGCAAATTACGAGCCAACGTTGTTGGCAGTTATTTTGAAAATTTGTAATTTATCTTAAACTTGAAATATATGCATTACTTTTGTTTAGAGATACAAAAAAAATCCCACAAACCTGTTGTCAAAAGATGCAGTTTGTCCTTTCCACGTTAACAATACATATTTAAATGAGCTTGTCATTCATTATTCGCCACGACATTAAATGTTTCCCGAGGCAGTAATCTGTCAGTAACACGCACGTGCATTTCATTCAATGTATGCTCTTTTTTCATCATGATGAAATTTACACCTCAAGGCCGTTGTTATTTCCTTTCTTTTCTTTATTTTGTTTTTTGTCTGAGGGAAAAATAAAATTTTAAAATATATTCAGGTAAATTTTTGATTAGAAAACGTTGATGTCTTCTTTGAATGATTTTTTAAATCAAAAGGAAGAATGGACTGGTCTCATGTTGTCTTTTTATTTCAAATAATCAGTTTAAAAGTCTTACCTGATCCCGTGTCAGGAAACTTCAACAAGTTTATCTATATGTTTCAAAGTGGAAAACCTAGTTCTTACATAAATTTCCAATATCCGATGAATTAATCTAGGGACTTGTATAATTTTCCTTTAGGATAATTTAAGTTTACCTATATGTTTCAGAGTTGAAAACCCAGTTAAAAAGAATCCGATATCTGATTAATTAATCTAGGGACTTGTCTAATTTTTCTTCTGGACAAAAATATTACCCCCCCCCCCCCCACACACACACAAGATTTTTTCATATTGTGTTTGCTTTTATGTATAAGCTAAAACTTTATTATGATAAGGTAAAATAAAAACAGAAACAAAGAAGAAGTCAAAGCTCTACAGGAAGCAACTAGACTGCTTCGAAAGGATCGCGATATTAGTGATTCATATAGGATGGGGATGCTTCAATATCAATATGTCTTGTATAACATTGCTGTTATGTAGAAGATCTTTAAAAGATATTTTTTTTCAGTATTTTCCAGTACTTGTATGATGTAAAATTTACCATAACACTTACTCCCGGGTTCTTAATTAATTAGTAGAGAAATGAATCAAACAAGGTCTGCAATGTTTAATATGCAAGTTTAATACGTCATCCAGCAAAGGCTATCATTGACTGATCTTTTTGTCTACGAAGGAAAAAAAAAAATAAAATTACATCTGATATTCTTAAGAAGAAATAAAAATATACAACAAAAATACCAAAACAAAATCCTTTTATTATAGTATACAAGTGCAGAATTTAATTATTCAAATGCAGAATTTAATTGGTGGATCGTAGGTACTCTCATAAATATTCGTGAGATCATAATAATACGATGTCTTTGTAGAATGCAAGAAAAAATATCACTGTATGATTGACCTCCAGTGCTGCAACTTGTACGGAGTTATCCAAACTGAAAATCTTAATATTATGAATGTATCCTTGGGTAAAGTAATTCAAACCCTTTTGTAAAACTTTTTCCGATAAATTTGAACTGTTGGGTAGATATTTCACACAGAAATCGTCCGGAATCGACTTTAAACTGTCGGTCGCGACCGAGGATGATGAACATGTGGGACTTAGTTACAGTAACTAAGGTGGGCGGAGCTTCGGGAGAAAAGTCGGAACTATGAATTACCAAAAATGCAGCAAAACTTAAATATCTCTGAACTCACCATTGCCATAATTTTTGTACATACTAGAATATAGAAAGTCCAGTGTTAAAAAATGCTTATACTCCACACTTTGTATTATACTAAGTACTCGAATATAATTGTGCGTTTACAGCAAACTAAACAGTAATTTTGAATATATATATATATATATATTAAAACAACCAAAATTCAATTTACTCTTTCTCAATAATAATTTTCTCCATCACGATTAATCTAATTCTGACGATTGAATTCTTTTGAATGGTGTAGAAGAAGTTTTAAAAGTATATAACGAACTACATTAAATCTAAAATAGCAGATCTTGATATACTAGTAGTTATGCGACCTTTGCTTCAAAAACTAGGATACCCTTTCAGTAACCATTCCTCGTTAAGATTTATAGACAGATTCAGATATATAACAAAGAATATAAAATGAGATTGTCGCGTAAGGTATATGATATGTTCTATGGCCTATTAGGACTATGAACTGAGCTTCAGTTATAGTGACACACATAATATATATGTCAAGCGAATCTCATATCATTGAATCAATGAGTGTATAAGTATCGTTTTACATATTTAGTATATGGAAGCCTACAATCATCTTATAGTTTATTATAAGAATGAATATAGAGTACTTTAACATACATCATTGAACGTCCAATGTCTAAAAAGAACTGATTCCACTCTAAACTATAGATGGGTTGAAAGGTAAAAATGTAAAATTCATGACATGTCACTTGTAAAAATGAATGAAATATACTTGAAATAGTTTCATCGTGTAGATTAGGTAAAGTTTGACATGTGTTGTCGTATGATGCATTTTCTAAATATACAAATTAAAAATAAAAATGGGTTCCATAACGATTTTTTCAATCTATGCAGCAGCAAAAATAAATTAAATAAACATGTTAATTGATAACACCTTTGAAAAAATATAATTTTGAAAAATTAAAACCATGTATTCATTGCAGATAATTTTTATACCAAAATAAAGACACAAAAAGAAAGACAAGTTATTCGACTATTTAAGTTCTCAACCAAGCAATTTTAAAAATAAAATACTCACAAGTTGTTGGGGGTAATACGTTTGCTATTCCATGATTTGAAGGGGGGGGGATCATTTATGCCTTGTTGTCTTTCCGCAAAAAAAAACCAAGGCGTGTTCTAATGACTTCTTACTTCATTTCATTTTATCATATCAAATTATTGGTGGGACTTTAATCCATTTTTTTAAAAAACGACCTATACTAGTAACTACCATAATTATTGTCCTTTTGTGAAACGTTTACTCATCATCAGTGGCAGATTTAAGGGGGGGCGCCCCCGGCGCCCCCCCCCCCTAAAATTGTCAAAGTTAGCGTAAATCATAGTTTCGTCGAGAAAATGTAAAAATTTCTACTTGGTAGACCTCATTTTTACCCTACAAAATCTCTAGAATCCAGGAGCTCCCGGGAGCTTCGCCCCCTGGACCCACTGGGGGCCTCAAAGCGGCCCCCAGACCCCCTGCCTACTTTTTGCGCCCCCTCTAACTTCAAATCCTGGATCCGCGCCTGATCATTATTCTTTCTAAATAGATTATAAATACAATGTAGGTGGCTGAATAATATCTACAGTGAAGGTAAGATCTTCACTTAGCAAGCTGTAAATGAATTGTATTTTAACTGACATATTTCTCACAAGTTAATCAATCACTGAAGACACGTTAACTTTAAATTTGATTTAATGGCAATTTTATAAGCTGAGTCATTTGCATTTTGGTATTTCTTTTATTTTTAAATAATTTTCTGAATCAGTTTTTGTAAATTTTTGTAAGCATACATACACCAAAAAAAGTAATCACCTTAATCGTAAGGTCAACTTCTCGACAGAGGATCACTTAATCATCACAGTATATATACATTGTAGAGTTAGTATGCCCAGTTTGCACTAAAGTATGTGTGTTCTACATTCATAATGGCTTGCAATAATTTCCTCTACATATGTTGTTTTATGTTTATTGAAATATAACATTGCAATATTGCAGTCTGTATGCCCCCCCCCCTCTCTCTCTCTCTCTAAAATTAGCTGTCCTCTCTTCATAGTTACCTATGAATAAGAGAGAACAGCCCAGTCTTGAAAGAGACCAAATGCTCAAAATTATTTACTGTTCCTATATATACATCAAATAGTGCACAATAGTCATATAATAATTATATATAATTTGCGAGTTAATAATTCTCTAATTACTTCACAAACATTAACCTTTTCCTTTTAACATTGTAAAACAAGCATTACACATTTTATGCGCTACACTTTTGTTTTGAATGGAGCGTTTACAAGTGCACGTACTTGTTATTCTTATCAGAACAATTTATGTAGCACAGAATCATCCTGAAACGTGATGCAAGTCATTCTAAATATAGGACACACAAACTCTAGTAGAATGCATCGCATAGAACACATTAACTTCTATAAAGGGATGAAGTAGCTGAATAGCCCCAGGATAAGGGTGAGTACTTTTCATGTCTATGAACGTTTTCAAAGATTTGCTATATATATATATATATATATATATATATATACTTAAATTTTCATTGGAAAAACCCCTTTATCGAACTCGAAGAGGACTGCGTGCAAACTGAAGATCTTACAATGTATCTAGGCACTGAATAGCTCAAAGCTTCTTTTTTTTTAAAGTAAAAAAAAAAAAATAGCACAAAAGAAAATTTATAATAGTACAAAAATATACTTACTAAAGGCTTTTCCTAATCAATGGATTAATGATAAGTGGAAAATCCCATCAATTATTTGAGATTATAACATAAAATGAGGTAAGAATTAATTAGAAGACGGTTAGGTTTTCCCCTGAAAGACAAACATTTATAAATGATTTTTTTTATTCTTAATTCATGGAACTGCAAATATATAACCCTCAATAAATGGTAGGTATTTTTCTATTTTCTATTTTAGTTTTACTTGTCAAGAATTAAAATAGCTTAATAATATGACTTTCTCTTATTTTTCATTTCGGCCGAAGATTACCCTGCAATTACTAGGAGAAAGATAAGTCAATATTTGAGAAAACTGTCTATTTTACATGTATAATTAATTATTAGTATACAGGGAAATTTTCGCCCCCGTTTTATTTTCGCCCCTTTCGCCCTATGCACAAGTGGGCGAATTTAAAACGGGCGAATTCAAAAATCACAGTTTAATTTGTTAAACAGAATTGTGATTGGGCGAATTTAAAACGGGGCAAAATTGTTTGCAAGTATGAAAGGGCGAAAATAACACGGGGCGAAAATAACCCTGTATACATTTTAAATTTAATTATGGTTTTCGTTGTTAGATTGATGAAAAAAATTGCAGAAATCATGTTTTATCTGATATGTACTTAAAAAAAACTTGCATTATACAGTGCTATAATACTATTATTTACAAACAAGGCTAATTTTGTAAATATTGATAATTGTTGATTTTTGAATTTAAATAATAAAAAAAACCTAAATAGTATACATATGCTATCATGCTTCCAAGCTTTGAATGAAACAAATGCTGACTATAACATGATCAACAAAAATATTTTTGAAGAAAATTTCCACTTTTGCCTCTGAAGGAATTAAACTCGGTAATTTCCCTTATGTATCAACAAAAATTGAGAAATGCTTTGAGCCCTTTATTAATTGCTCCCCCTTGTGACTAATTTTATTTTAGACCAGTAGCAATACAGACTTGTCAGAAACCTGTGGTTTAATAATGTGTTCATATCTCTCTTTAATTTATGTAAATTTCATGTTTGTTCAATAGTAGCTTCGTAAATCACGTACACAATTCTAATTTTTATTGACTATCTTCATAACTTCAAACGCAATAACTTTTAATTACATACCTTTTGTTAGGGCATATAAAATTTCATACGTGGCAGAACATGTCAAACTTTTATCCAAAGAACTGGAGATTTTTTTTTTCATAGAGTGTGCTTTTTCATCTTTACTACAGGTCGCATAATATACATTTTACATCATTTAATCATATCTCTCAGACCACCCTTAGTACAAAGATATTTTTCTTGAAATCCTCATAACGTAGGTACATCTTTAAACTGTCTTAAGACATCTTAAAAGCTGTCTTATCCTTCTTGGAATTGTTCGTTGTCACAGAAGAGATTTTGGTAAACAGTATATTTAGCATTTTCGATTTCTTCAAGAATTCTTCCGCTTCTTTAATAAACATGAAACTTGTAGATTTGTGTACCTTGTCATTGGTCAAAAACAAGCTGATTTTGTTTAAAACATTCTGATTCTATACACATGTACTCCAAGACTGATACTAAAAAGATGCTTGAATTTCTCATTGACAATATCTACATGTATGTGGTTTTCGGAGACCACATGTCTTCCAAAAATCTGTTGGAGAATTGGATCCCTTATTAGCAGATCTGTTTTTGTATTCATATGAAGCAGATTTTATTAAAAAACTTCCAAAAAGAATTCTCTTGCTGTGGTCTTCAATTCGACATTTAGATATATCGACGACGTATTACCAATTAATAAACATTTATTTCTATTCTTTTGATTTTTATCAAGCAATGTACCATTAACACCTGCATATGGAGTTTATATCTCCCAGTTGATTCGATACACAATAGAATGTTCTACGTACGAACAATATCTGAAACGAAGGCTATTGCCAAGTGAGTTGAAGATACAAAGTCAGCATTTCACAAATTCTATGGTCGATACAAAGACTTTGTTTGCAAATAAAATCTGTCGTTAAGTCGAATACTGACTTTTATACAAATTGTTAGGCTGTTATTTTGACACTGAATTGTCTACGAATTTTTTGCGTTTACCCAGTCATAACAAATAGCACACGGTGGATGTGATCAATCGACAGGGGATGCTACTCCTCCTTGGCACCTGATCCCACCTCCGTTTTCAGAGGTCTGTGTTGGCTCTGCTTATAATTTGTATTTTTTTAATAGACTAAGAGAATAATCACTGTTCGTTATCTTCACCTTTCATTTGGTAAATAATAAATTTTGCTCACGATTCCCGACCGACCGACATTTTGACCGCTGACACAAGTTATATAAGTAATATTAGAACACCTCAAAGAAACTGCGCATTTTCTATGCATAGAAAGACAACTTTATAATTTATTTCACACAACATGAAAATAGCAGAAAAAAATTTACGCTTTTAGATCTTGAGACCATTCTAAAAAAATATGTAAATATTTCTTTTTTGCTGATTTACCTTGAATATTTTTATTTTAATAACTTACTCATCAATAGATGTTCTGTAATGTTTCCTGTGACAACACTGACAAAAACGTCACAGCACTGACAAAAATATGCAAAATCATGGATGCAATGTTAAATGCTTTGGACAGAAAATTTTCCGGAGGCGGGGTCACTTTTTTTCTCAAGGTTCCACAAAAATGTGGATTTTATATTTTTTATTCTGCAAAGTAAAAAGATTGGCACATAACAGTGTGTAGAGCTCATGAAAGTACTTGCTAGCTCTATCTTGAAATATGTGCTGAAAAAACGTTAGTTTTGATCGTGAGCACAAACAGAAATTTTGAGCACCACAAATAGATTTTGACATGCTACTTGTTTATATTGTTGGTAATTAAAAATGTCATGATATTTCTTAAAATATATATTGGTGGTAAATTTAAAGAATATGTCAAAATATTTCCGGCAATGGGAGTTGTCTTTATTTTAACCAAAATTAGGTCCTAGGGTTATTTATATCTATTAATAATGCTTAAAAAATCCTTTGTAACATAGAAATAATAAATGCTTTGGCCTGATGTGGTAATTTGACTGATATTTTATAAATAAAAATTAGGATTCTCAGTATCATTTTGTTATATATCACATTATATGGCGTATATCATTATGTATTCCAATCAAGTAAGTCCTGCTTGTTCAACTACTTGTATTTTAGATTAATTAGAAGGATATATAGTGTGTGGAATATAGAGCAAATAGAAAACAATGGAAGAAGATAAAAGAGTTCCGATCGACAGAGGCTGGGCATGGGTGATTCTTGTTGGTGAGTTTCTATATATAAAAGTCAGATAAGTGTATAAAACAGGAATTCCACAATCTGTGTTATGAGATGTATATTTACATTGATTAGATATATTCTTTATTTCTTATGAAAAATGATTGCTGATATCAATTCCCTAATCTAGGTAGAACCAGGTTTTTAATAGATTACTTTGAAAACAATGTTTTTTTCTTTCTAAATGCAGAAATATTTGGCAATTATTGCAGAAAAAATGATATAATTTGCTTACACGGGTCGTGTATTTTTTCTGCAAAGTCGCAACCGTTATCCCTGCATTTTTAAACAAAGAAAGGAGTTTATGATTTTAACAGAGGGTATTTTTTAATAGTTACGTAAAATTTGTTCCATAGTACTAGTGCAATTCATCATTGTTAATATTTGATCAATTCTCTTCAGCAAACTTCATTGTCGTGTTCCTGGTCATTGGCTGTACCTCCTCCTTTGGGCTTTTCTTTGCTGAGTTTATGAGTGAATATAAGGCGTCCGCCTCCAGCATCACCGTGGCATTGTCGGTACAGACTGTCATATTCAGTTTCTCTTGTGAGTACTTCATAGATTGCAATCTTTATTACATCATTTTGTCCAATCATGTCATAATTATGCAATTATAGATATCCCAGAAAGATAATATTAAAAAGGATTTTTGTTCACTTTGCTTACCGCCCATCCGTTGTGCAAATCTTTTTACAAGGATTGGCTTGGGTTACAATATGTTTAACACAGACCTTTTAAATATTTTCCCCGCAGCTCTCTTCGCACTGAACTTTGGAACTGGTCTTGCATCCAGTCGGACTTATATCATACTTGGAGGTCTGTTTGGTTGCTCAGCATATGTCATCAGTGCCATAATAAAAGACATGTCCTATCTAATACTGTCTCATGGCGTAATATTTGGTATGTAGTGAAGTTTTGAAATTAGTCCGTTTTAAGGAAAAATTATTGTTTCAAAATGCATTTTCCTTATTAAATATTTTTTTTGCTGATAAATAGGGTTTTCCTTAAATTTAAAAGTTGCAATTGGAACTTTTAGTAAAAAGTATCTCTTGTTTAATGATTGAAGAACTGTGTATAAGCAAAACCTAGACTAGACTAATTGGCTTTGATTTTTTTTTTTTAAATGTTAATCATTGATATATAATATCGAAATATCGACTGCAAACATTAAACATTACAAAATTTTTCGATCTATCTTGACTTGTAAAATTAGAAAAGTAAAACAAGGGAACGAATGTGGACTTTGTATATGTAGCTTTAGCCATTTTGATCACGTATATGAAGGAAACCATTTAAGAGATATATTCTGTAAAGGCGTCCATTTAAATGCATGGAAAGATATGAAACAAGAACGATACAAAGAAACAAAGAAAAACCAAATAAAATTAAAAAAAACATTAGCTGTTACTTTGTTCTTGTAATAATAAAATATACTGATCTCAGTAGAAAAAGCGAAATAAAGTCAGTTGAAATGAGTTTGGCGACGTCGTCAATTCTGACAACAAAGCTTCAACTCAGAGCAATGTGTTCATCGTAAGCATGAGCAGAGCATCGTTTGCATAAATAAATCAAATTAAAAATTAATTAAAATAGGTCTCATACGCATAGTTGTTCAGCAAATAGCCATTCGGTGTAACAGTGTTACTAGATGTCATTTTATTAGTTCCATAATGATATAATAATAATTGATAAAAGAAAACATAAATGGAGTCTTTGTTGACCGACATAGTCGTATATTTTCTTTGAGTTTTTGACGTACTACAACTTTCAATTTTTTTGAAAACATGTATTGTATATACAGGTAATTTAAATTTAAAAATCACAAATTAAAGAAATCTCAAAATATACAAAATTTATTGACAATTTCACTTTTTTAAAATCATAAATACTTATCTCTTCTCTACGAATAAAAAGAAGTCAAAATGCTAATTCAACACTGTTGTTTTAAGGTATCGCTTATGGATTTTCCTACGGGCCAGCACTAGTAGTTCTAAGCAGATACTTTAACAAGAAACGAGGAATGGCAGCCACCTTAGGAAATATGGGAGCCAGCTTTGGAAGTTTGATATTCCCTCCCGTCATAAGAATTCTTCTTGATAACTACGGTCTTAAAGGTGCCCTTGTCATCATTGGAGGCCTCCTTCTGAATCTTTGTGTAGCGGGAGCTTTAATGAGACCAGTGGCATTCTATAAAGAGCGGATAAGTGGCAATAAAGTAAATTCAAAAGACATTCTTTCCAACCAAAAAGTTTGGACAACTAACAATTATGGTAAACATGATAGGAATCATACACCAAATTTTGGAAATCATACCATTAAAGAAAATTGTACGCATAACAAGCTGACCCAAGAAAATTGCAACAAGGGAAAGATGTCAATTTTAAAAATAATTGTTCTTGATACGAAAAATAAGAGCAAAATAAAAAATATATGCAACATATGGATAAACTTTGAAGTTTTGCAAAATGTTTTATTCAGAATGTGGATTCCCGTATGTTTTCTAGCAATAATCGGATGTGTTCAGATAGTGGTTTTTATACCTCCACACGCTAAAGATCTTCAAATAGCAGATAGTAAAATTACTCTCCTGGTGATCATGATAGGAGCTTCAAACTTGTTGTCTAAGATTTTTGTAGCTTTTCTTATCCATCGAAATTGTATGTCAAAAACTCACATGATGGCTGTTTCTTTGATAATAACCGGGGCATCTTGTATGCTCATTTCATTGTATACGAACTTCTTGACAATGTCTTTCCTATCCGTAACATTTGGAGTTTTCGGAAGTGTGTATTTTGGTTTATTTCCTGCTGTAATTGCAGAATTTGTAGGATTAGACAATCTTTCCAGTGCAATGGCTATAAATATGATGATGCAAGGACTAGGACTATCTATTTCCAACCCAATATTAGGTAAATCTAAAACAACGTTTGATAGTAAATGTTAAATTAATATTTTAAGGTCACTTGAGTTACATGTATTTGCTATTTGCTTTTGTCCGTCGTTGTTCGTCGAGTGGTGTTTGTCGCCCAAACGTAAACTTTTGCACATTCTTTTTCTCCAAAACCACATGGCCAATTTGAAAGATTTTTGTAAAAGAAGTTTCCTTGAGTGATGGAAATTCAAATTCCCCTTCAAAAGAAAAGCTAGGTCGATCTTTTTCTGAGGAATAATGAAAATTAAAAAAAAAAACGAAGGATCATTCAAAATTAAAAGTGATGAAACTTTTGTGAAAGCTTTCATCAACCATGGCCTCTGGGCCAGAGAACAGGTCACAAAAAGGATGTAATAAGATTTATGTAGATTATTGGGGAATTCTTTAAAATTTTCCTTTCAAGAAATATAAGACTACACATTCTCAACCTATACATGTAAACAAGCATCCCCATGCAGTGTAGGTTCAAAATTATTCAAATCATTGTCACGGAGAAAGGAATGATGTCAGAATTTGATGCAAAATAAAAATACTTCAAGTATTTTTACTTTGCACCAAATTCTATATAAGGGGATGTTTTTTAAGTGTTTAATTTCTTATCTTTTGCTTGTACAACACTTTTAAATAAATTGTTCATTTATACCTACCTTTTGTCAATCCGACACGACTCTCTCTCTCTCTCTTTTTTAAAAAAATTTTCACCAAATGTTTTTTTTTTCAAATGCTTACATAATTTTTTATTCACTGTGAAATATATTGTCCTCATGCAAATCAGTCACTCGCTAAAATAATGATTAACATTATACGGTTATCTGTTTCAGGATATCTAAGAGACACATCGGGATCTTTCTATGCTTCCTTCTATGTCATGGGATCAACTCTTATTATTAGTGGAGTAATACTGTTCTTGGAACCGCTGTGTAGAAAGTTAGAAAAAAGAAGAACTGATTCCAAAAACATAGAACAAGGAGTTGTGATAACACCATAATGATGAGAGAGAGAGAGAGAGAGAGAGAGAGAGAGAGCATTCCAATCCGGTCTTTTAATAAAATGTATATCCTGAATAATTTTTTTTTGAGCAACAACACAAGAATATCAACAATTGAAATAATAACTTTAAAAAAAAAAAAAAAAAAATCAGATACGAATGTGCTATAATTTAGTTGACAAAGTAGAATTCATTTTCATTAATTGTTATTGTGTTTTATTTTTTGTATGATTTTATGTTCGTTTGAGTATGAATCAACATTATATGTTTTATTTAATATAATACATGTATTTATGATAATTATTTTCCATCTCATTGCATAGTATATCTCTGCATTTTACCTCAAATGATATTATTTTTTACAATGCATAACATTTCTCTTCATATTACATTAGTATTTCAGTAGTTAAAAATACCCATCTTTTATGTATTGTATTGAGAATTAATTTAATTATTGTGTTTTGATAGAAATCATGCTTATAAGATTTAAGTATTTTACCCCTAATATCTCGAATCTTCGGATTTTTTTCTTCTTCTGCCCGATCGAGTTCGAGATAACGAGGAGTGACTGTATGTAGTCTGAGTCAATATTACACACTTAAGGTATGAGCTCACTGCTCAGTCTTTGAGAAATGTACAAAATAAACTGTTTCATCAACTCATACAAGTACATATCTCATTTCTATTTGAAGTCAGATAAACATAAAAAAATAATTTAATTGTAGTTCTGTGATACGTTAAGCTTCATAACAAGTAAGTAAATAATTGAATAAATTGTGTTATATATATATATATATATATATATATATATATATATATATATATATATATATATATATATATATATATATATATATATATATATATATATTCATTCATTCAATCTTTATTTCCTCCATTTGGAGATTTGATAAACGAAACAACTATTACAACATATCTACATTAATGAAAATATATAAATATATAAAAAGAAAATAATAAAGAAAAAAAAATGCGGCATGTACAATTTGCTTATATACTCTGTATGAAAACATAAAAACATCTCATGTGTGTATCATACACATTATCGTAGTAAGTGGCTATGCTAGATACTATGAATGAAAAACATTTTAACATGAATTTCTTTTTGTCTAAAACTTGGTCATGGGTACCCCTAAGAACAGAAAGGTAAAAATTGTACTCGTTTAATGTAACAAAATCTATGTAAACATCATTGTATTCATATGATAATTCAAACATAAATTCAGATCTTTCATTAGATGTTATAGAACAAATCGCTATAGCATGTTGAAAACTGTTTGTAAAGGGTTTTGAGCAGATAATACACTGGTATATAGAATTCTTCTTCGGTGAATTACAACAAGTACGTTTTATTTCCTTGCATAATATGCCAAATGCCTTATGAATTTTATCGTATTTTCTTGGATGTACATTGAGCAATTCCTTTTCCAATGCAGAGACTTTACTGGTTTCTTTCATAGCGTCCTGTAGGAGAACAACTGATTTGCTTTTAAACTGGGTTAATAGAATTGATGTAATTCCGCGAGAATACATGTATTTCTAACCCTAGCGGACCAAGCAGCGGATATCCTGCATGATACGCTATAGACGTGTAAAAATATTTTGCTTGGTTAAGCGTCCATCACCCATCAGAAGTGGTGGGTTCCAGTATGTTATTATGCAGCTCTGTCTTTTGGGGGATCCATCCAGTTACTCCATATATTGCCGATACTAGTGCTAAGCAATACGTGCCCCAGAAATGACGGAAAGTAGGGTGTTTTATTATATACCCAAGAGTGCATCACCCAGTTTTACTGTTGATATAATACAATCACATGATTGTGTGATCCGACTTTCCGGATCACCACAATGTGGTTTTCTGAATCCATATCATCACTCTCTGAAACTAATAACATGGTTTTTCCTTGCGTTTCCAAAGAGGTCCTTGAAAATGTGTTTTGCTTAATGGATTAAGTTGTATAATTGATCCCAGATAATTTCTTAATTATATTTAGTTAATAACAGAATGGTTTATCATTATATTAGTAACTTTACCCGAAAAGCCGGATCACGTCTCATTGAGAGGCGCGGATCATCAGATCAAATTCGACGCTTATAGGCTTAGAATCCAATGTCTTTCAAATGATGTATTTTGCTGGATGTTATTACCCGATGCTTTCCCGTCAGGTTTTGGTGAAACTTCACTACTTGGGGTAAAGTTGCTTTTTTTCATGGAAGTAAACGCCAAGGTAAGGGCATGAATCCACATTTCTAACAAGTTATTTCCAATATAGAAGAAGGTGTGTTTTTTGCGTTGATTCAATTGTGTCAGAAATTGAAACTTTATAATTTGGAAGTATGTATTACCACTCTTCGTATGAATTCAACAAGACTTTTGGAGGGTGTGAAATAGCGAAATTGTTGTCCCAACAATTAAATTTCGAGATAATGCAGATTCATGTCATTTGCAAATACTATATATATATAAGAATAGATTTCGCGATAAATGACACCTTATTTGACTCAAGTGGTGCATTTAAACCAGTCGGTAAGTTAATTCTTGGTTGTAATACAATATTTTGAACTTGCAACTATAATTTAATTAGAATTGTAAACTTTCCCATCCGAGAATATTTATAACCGAAGCGGATCAAGCAGCTGGATATCCTGCATGATACGCTATAGACGAGTAAAAATAGTTTTCTTGTTTAAGCGCCCATCATCCGTTAGAAGTGGTGGGTTCTAGTATCTGTTACCCCAATTGTTATGAATTTGTTTTTCCTTGGTCCAGGATTGTGAACTTTTCTTCAGGATTCTGCTGGATAGTCTCTGGAAGAAATCTTTAAATTCCATGGCTTGATTTTACTCATGTATCTATATGCTCCTTTTATTTTTGTACAGTTTTGTCAAATAATAAACAGGCTGAAAGTATAATTATACTTTCTAAAGAAAGTTCGGGTTCAATGTTGAAAATATGTTGCATCCTCGACGTTGTTTCAACGTTGAAATATCAACGAAATTCAAAGTTGAAAATATGCTGCATTTTTAACATTGCTTCAACCTTAAAATAACAGCAAATATTTAACGTTGAAAATATGTTGAATCTTCAACGTTGTTTCAACATATTGAAATAATATTAAACATTCAACGGTGAAAATATGCTGAATCTTCAACATTGTTTCAACGTTGAAATATCGACAAACATTCAACGTTGAAAATATGTTGCATCTTCAACGTTGATCCAACGCTGTAAAAAGGTTGAGGATTCAACGTTGAAACAACTTTGAACTATAGTTGCTCAACGTTGCAACTTATATTCCACCTACTTTCAACGTTGAAACAACGTTGCGTGCCTGCTGGGAAATAGTAGCCAAATCAAGTTTTGCAAGATAATTGGTGGTGTTTTGTATATGTGCAATAAGGTTTTGAAAATTTTATTTTTCACCAAGGAGGCCAATGGAGGGTCGAAAAACGACAAAAACCTGATTAGCATAACTCCCCTCATATTTTACATAGTACCAAATCTTTTAAAATGTAATAGGTGATGTCCGACGAAGTGCAATATGGTTTTGAAATTTTCATTTTTATCTTTGGAGTAGGGATGACCCCATCACGATCACTTTCATAGTTTCTAATCTTTGTGTTTTTTCATAAAACAGTTTTTTTTAAATTGATTTTTTTGCAGTTTGCAGTTTTGCTGATTGACCTGAACCACGTGTTCGAAGTAATATATAAACATGTAGTCCAAGAAACGTTGCTATTCATTCAACGATTGGTCAATTGTTCGTGGTAATATCCTCTGTGCGTATTAATAACAATAGCCATATAAGGTTAACAAAGGTTTGACATTCTAGAAGACATATTACACATTTTTTCTACCAGCTTATCGGGCAATTTTGGAAAAATTGTCACTACTAAGCTCCAAAAATATTCTCGCCCTAAATTATCACAAAAGCGAGGTTTAAGTAGATTATGATTTTTAACCTACCCGCTCTTTTCTGTTTAATATCAAATCTTTCTAAAAGGTCTGGATACACATTTTTCTCAGGATATGTTTTAAAAAGAAATAGGCTAAAGCAGTTTGCTGTTTACTGCCAATATTATTTATAAGACCGGTTCTACCCTATAAACTTTGAATAGGTCAACCTACACCACGTGTCTTGAATGTAATTCACAATACCATTAGAAGGGGTGAACTAGATACCTTCCAAACATGAACAACAAAAATTTAATATACTTTGGTACTTTGATTTGCTATGAAACTTAACTTTGGAACATATTTGGAGATTTCAATGCTTAAAATTACTAAAATGCAAAAACAATGTGGTAAAATTTAGAAGAAAAAAAATACGTGAATATACATGTACAAGTAATGTTTTCATTTAATATCAAAAATGTGCATGTATGAATTGCAAAACATAAAATATAAAAATCTGAAATCTACAGTAAAACAAATTTGATTTAATATAGTAAAAACTTTGATTTAATAGAGTAAAAACTTTGATACTATAGTAAACTAAAGTTTACTATAGTAAACTATAGTTAACTATAGTATTCCTTTTGTTAGGAAAGATTAGCAATGAGGAGCTGTATGAAGGAACACAGACAGCTGCTCTATCCGACCAGATCAAAGAAAAACGATGGAAATGGATTGGCCATGTCCTGAGAATGGAAACATCAGATATATATACCAAGGGTAGCCTTAAGATGGACACCACCAGAAAAGCGAAACAGAGGACGACCAAAGGAGACATGGCGACGTTCAGTAGAAAAGAGATAAAAGATCAGGGATGGACTTAGGGCATGGTACAGCAAATGTCAACGGACAGACAGCGGTGCAGGCCTCATGTGCTCAAAGCACTAAGAGGACTAAGTAAGTAGTACTGTGGACAAACCTTGTAATGGTTTATTTGATATATAATTACTTCAATTTACATAACACCATATCTATTATAAGTTTGGAATTTTACAACAGTTGTCACTTGTCAAAATTGTTCCGTCAGATGTCATTTTTATTAGAACAGCATTCCAAAGATAAACACAATTAATTATGGTCCGCTCTGTTGGTGCTCTTTAGTGATCAGTATGTCCGTCCATCCGTCTTCTGTCCGATTTCATTTGTCCAGAGCATATATAATTTCCTCTTGGCCCAGTTGGGCTCAAACGTAACGCAAAGTATTTCCGTTGAAAGTGGTGTGTAGTTAACTTGAACAAATTTTCTTATAAGGTCAAGGGTTACGGTCAGAAAACCGCTTTGCGTAAAATCCTTGTCTAGAGAATATTTTTTTCTCCCCTTGACCTAACCTGGCTAAAACTTCACCCGTTGAGTACCCGTGGGTAGAGGATGTGGAGTGTCCTTGAGTCAAGTTTTATAGGTTAGTTGTCAGGGTCATAGCAAATCTCAATATTATTCTTTTCCTTTGCATAGATATATAGAAAAATTGTTCTTATCATGTAGTTGATGTCGATGCCTTACCTTTTATCCTAACGTCCTTTGCAAAAAGCGGGTCCCTATAGGATGGTCATCAATTCAACGATTCAAGTTTTTTGTTTTGTTTTCTTTATGAAAGAACATATGTATATAGCCAGTAATTTGATTATGATGTAAAGTCGATTTTTTCATATTTATATAAAGTGATTAATTATATTACATTTTTCAAAAATTTTAAAACTATTTTTTTCCTTTTGTATGTTTACAGCTTGCGATTAATCCTACTGAGAAATTTCTGCGACGCTCACTTCTTTTGCTGAACTTCACAGTGAAAAATCATATATCTTATAAAGCATTTCTCAAGGCTCACTGATTTGGTTCAATCTTAGGTCTCTCTTCATCAATATTTTGTCATGAATTGGAAATAGATCTGTATATTATTTCTGTAATGTTTCCTAGTACATCCTAAAACTGATACAGAAAATAACTCAGTACAAAAAGTCAATCACCTAGGGAGCTTACAAAAATGCGGCACGTAAAGTCCCAGGTGTTACAAAATAATTGACATTTGCATGTTTAGCTACAGAAATTCGACTTTGAATGATAATTCTGATACCGCAAATAACTAAGGTAATGGTTTTTACGTGGTGAAATGCATATCAATTATTCTTCAAACGATGTAGCATTAATGTTTTTGAAGCTAAAAAAGAACACGGAAGATAATTAATTTCTAATTCTGACTTGTTCCTTTTCGTTACAACTAATCTTCTCAATTTATTATATTAATTCAGCGACTTCTGTACTTTTGTAGGTTGGTCATTTTGGGCACGATTCAGGTAACATTTTCCTGTCATATACTTGATAAACTGCGATATTTTCCTACTACAATAACTCATTTAATCATTAAAAATTTACAATCATCGCAGTATTTTAACGACAATTAAAAATTAAATGTCAGTGGTTCATATTTTCAATTCACTAAGGCCTGTACATATTCTTCTATGCTTCATATCAACTCGTACACAAAACTGAAGTCAATTCGTACACAAGGTTTTCCTGTGTATAAAACTCCTGGCTCCTTGAATAATTTAATTTTTAAACGGTTCCACTGCCAGCTCTCCAGAAATGTTTTAAATTTTTGGAATCATCTTGTGACATTGAAACGATGATCACAGCAAAGCTGATACAGATACTTCAGCTTGACGCTGAGTATTTTGAATAACAAATATTGCTGAAGATGCTAACAAGTAATGTATTATAAATTGCTTCCTTGTTATGTGACTACGCACTTACTGACACACGTACTCATTTTTTTTTAATTTTGCAAACGTGATCGATACTGATGATCAATACAGGTACTTGGATGGTGCTATGAAACAGTAGGTGTTACCATGGTTTAAATGTGAAATGGGTTGCATACATAAATGTAAAATTATTTGCGATGATATTTTCATATTTTAAGCTACAGACAACATATCTGAGTATCCAATACCTGCATTTCTACTTGCTTGATTGATTTTATGTTGTTTTACGTCCCATTCGAGAATGTTTATTCATATTGAGACGTCCCCGTAAACTTTATCGTGCTAACGCCAACCTTGACCCGAAACGACCTGTGACCTACTTCTAGTGCCGGGCGCATGGCGAAAGAACAGTCACTACCTATGTTTACGTCTCATGTTTGACGTGGCATGGTGAACAAGAATCGAACCTGGTCTTCCCGAGCACGAAGCGAATGACCAATCACATGGATTCCGTGATATAAATTTTTATTTCATAAACACTATTAAATTATACTTTAGTTTAGTATATTATTATAAATCCTTTGCCTTCAGTAAACAATAGTACAACCTAACCTTAGGAGAACATCTTTATTTAAGGAATAACTGTCTTATTTTTTGGATTCGTGATGTGATCAATCGAGTGGCTTGCGTGATAATTTGCATAAACGCCGAAGGCGTTTATGCATAAAATTATCACGCAAGCCAATCGATTGATCATCGTCATGAATCCAAAAAAATCTGACAGTTATTCCTTATATTTACATGCTCCTGATTCTGCAAATTCCCGTGCTAATAGCCCCGCTTCTATCTCTATTTGTACCGCCCCGCACGTGATTTTTTTTTAACCGCGCCTATCGATGAACCAGTAGATTTATGTAGAAATAAAGTATTTTTACAATTTGTAATTTTATCTCGGACAAAGACATTGGAATTGTAAATATTTTGATAACAATGACTTCAATAACAATAAAAATCCATCAAGAATCAAACAAATGTCCATGATGTAGAATCCACCCACATACGATCCAGTCTTGTCTGGTATAAAACCTGTAAATATAATTGATATAGAGGCATGTGGTTCTTACATTTTGTCCACTTAACTCTTTTTCGAAACTACATGTACATTGCACTAATCTTCATCCTTCTATAAAGATATATTCGAGTCTTGCACCCTCATGCATTAAAAATGACTGAATACATCATTTTAAGAAGAGTTGAAGCTTGACAGGTGAAGTACAGTGATTCAAACGTACCGACTAATGTTGATGTAATAGCAATCGATGTCCCTTTTGTTACGGTGCCCATAACTAAACCATGGCTAAGATTTTCTAATCCTATGAAATTAATATGAACAAAGTTCTTTTATTTTAACCACTGGCTGCTGAAATCGTGAGGAGGTATCCAATCATATCTGTTTCTAATCCTTTGTCTTTTGCAAATGGTGCTATGTAGGTCACAGGAATAGTTTCTCCAATTTAAGATATGACAAAAAATCTGCTTTCAAATACATGTAGAACGATGTAATAAATGGTACAATTCTATAAAACACTCATATAGCAAAATATATTTCTTTTTCATTTAGACAGAAAATTTTCGGAATATGAAATATTGTCAAATAGATAATACAAATGATGCGAATGATGTTTATAGCAAAACAGTTCTAATGACAGTATAACAAATATTGATATGAAGAAAAATCATGTTTTACATTTCTAACATTTTATATATTGAAAAAAAAAAAAAAATAATGATGAAATCTAAAATTATTTCCCCAATGTTTCTGGGTTTTTGAGAGCATACGTGAATAAAATCAGATCTGTTTTTTTAAAGAACTGATTAGTCAATGTTCGAATATCAACATACAGAACAGTATTGGTACTACACATGATGATTCAATCATAGTAATGAATCACTGTTATCAGGCGCTGGCTGAATGTCGTTATCTGTTGAAACAACATTAGTCGGACTTCTATGTTGATTCTCGATTGAAGACGCTTCTTTTCTCCTCGACTTAGAAGGAACAGTAGACAAGGGGAAATATCTCTTAGAAGATTTTCTCCGTTGTGTAAGATTTCTTCGAAAATCTCTAGATTTTTTATTATTTTCTTCCATATTATCAATGCTTTCGTCCATATTTGTTAATTCGTCAGTCTCAGGAGATGTGCAAATTGCCTGTAATAGGTTTAGATTTTTCTTCATTATTTGTTCTTTATCTTCAGCAGTTGCGTACTCCGATTGAAGAGAATGGATTTCCATGAAATATCTTGCATGTTTTCCATAATGGTTATTTGGAAGAAAAAGCTCCATGTCTTTTTTATTTCCAATTTCTGACAAAATCGTTTCAAACCAACAAAGACAGAGAATATCTTCTAAGAAAAGAACAACTGATAATTGCTGAATTCGCCATTGAGGATATTGTTCTTTAAGAATATTAGAACAAGTTTCAGACATCATTGCAATCAAAGCATTTAACATCAGTAGGTACGTAAATGATATAAAGAGTGCGTAAATGGAAATGGCAAGCCATGGAATTCGAGCTTCGTATAAAACATCTATGTCTTCTATGCCTATTCCTAGTTTGAAAAGTGTCAATAAGGTTCTTTCAAACGATCTAAAGATTTCTCCCTCTACTTCTACGCCTTGAAAGACGCTGTACATCCCAGCGGTAAATGCGAAAAGTTCAAACAAAATTATTAAACCGAACCGTATGAAATCTCCTATCAAAACTCTTTTAATCATTTCTGTGAAAAAACTAAAATACTTAAAAGGTGACAGGAAAAATACGTTAACCCACCAACCAAATACAAGAGCAATTATCAAAGGAATATTTTCATTTTGCTGTTCTGACACTGAATCCATTATGCTGTCAATAACTAAAGAAATTCCACAGAAAAGTAAGGGCAAAATGTACTCTAGATTGTGGAGTGCATAGTACAATGCGTTATTTCTCCTTAATTTTGTAATGATTACACAGACTGCAATGAAAGTATATAGAACTCCTATTATCAAAGACATCCATCGAAAGACAAGAATAAATTGATTTGAGGTATAGTTCATATCTGTAAAGTTTGCTGTTGAATCTTGGGATATTGTAGACGATTCAACCGTGTAAATTGTAAGAACGATCATAAAAACAAAATGAAACATCATCATAGTCATAAATGACCAGAAATAGTTCTTCCATTTCTTTATGACTATACGCTTAACGGGGGGAAGTTCAATCATATTGTAGGCATCTCTACCATCGTAATTGTAATGAAATAACATTTCCAAAACAGATTCAGTTTCTTGCTTTGGACAATTCCGCGAAAGGCACGTCTCAATTTCTGCATCGGAGGTTGTTGGAGCAGTTTTATTTACGCCATAAGTGCTAGTATTTCCTTTAATATTCAGACTTCGTTTGGACTCAAAAGTCATTCGAATATTACATACAGTATCAATTTCCGAGATGTCATATTCCTTGATTTCAAAGAGACCATCATTTGAATTGGTGAAACAATAAACATTTTCAAGGTTCAGAATAAGCTGGAAGAGTTCTGTTACACCGTATTTTGCAGCCAGCTGTAGAGGTGTCATATTATCATTGTTCCTCAGAAACCAAACGTAGGACATCTTATATCTGTAATATTTGCTATTGCCATTCTCTTCATGTTGATTATCTTCCCCCATATTTTCAATTCTGTCGTTTAAATTTAATAACATCTCTTTCAGGTAATTAATCTTATCTGGATATATAGCAGCATATTTCACAATTGAATGGAAAACTGTATCACATAAACTATTTTGTTGGACGATATTGGCACCATATTCTATAAGTAAATCTATTACTTCAGGATCACCCTTAAGTGCTGCAACAGTGAGCGGAAGTTGTCCCATCATTATAGTGTTAACAAATCTGGAGCCAGAAGCTTGTTTATGTAGTAAACCTTGTAGGAAGGAATTCTTCTTATTTGTGTTTTTCTGTGCTTGTTTTAGCATCAACTCAATTACACTTAAGTTTCCTTTTGCTATTGCAATGTGGAGAGGTATTTGTCCGTAAAATTCAGGATTTTCTTTTGGTTTTACTAGGAGACCTGGACAATATTTTCCCAGGAGTTCGACAAAATGTAAAGTATCATGATATTTAACGGCAATATGAAGAAGAGAATCCCCACCAGAATTTGGAACTGCATTTTTCAACCATTGCTGAATATTAGTGTCCTGCAGAGCTTTTAACGTTTCGGAAAGGTCATTAACTTTATCATTTTTAATACTTTCCGCCAATTCGACTAGATAGTTTTGTTTTTCTTCTTCATCTTTGCTTTTGGTTTCATTTTCTTGTTTTTGTGATTTGGTACTCCTGCTTCCCATACTTGAATACTTCAACAACAAAAGAAAAGAATTAATGTGCAATTGTATCGTGTATAATACATGTACATTTTTCTTACGTGTTTTGTTTGCGAATCATAGATGGAAACATGCTCTTGGAATTAATATTTGCATTTTAGTTGTATGTAATTTGTGATTTGTACTTCATAAATTGAAGCTTGCTATGCGTTGACAAATAGTTGAAAGTTGAGAATATCTGGAATATTTATGTTTTTTGAAAACAAATGTACATTTACATTAATTGTTCAATGAAAAATTAATACATGTAATTAATCTATTCTTTCTATTTAAGGATAATTAATAAATTAATACATGCAATTAATCTATTCTTTCTATTTAAGGATAATTAGCACGAACCATAGTGGTTGCCTTGATAAGTAGAAAATATTCTACGATTTTGTAATAATGTAAAAAAAAAAAAAGTATAGATTTATAAAGAAAATGGGACAAAGTGCTTCCAGCACCAAAGAAAACCTAGTCTGATTTCTTTCTATTTTAGAGATCTTATATTCATGTGATTTCTATTTAAATCAGTCTCTCTCTCTCTCTCTCTATATATATATATCATATGTTTATATATACAGTCAAACCCAAATTTTACCACCATTTCCTTTCTTAAAAAGAAAAGTTAATGTTGCAAATTATCGGATTTTATTGGCTTTTACCACATTTGATTTAATTAAACATTAAAAATGTTTTAGCCTACATTTAGTTCAGTGGGAAAAAAGTTAGTAAGGAGAAGTTTGTGCAAGCTCGTTAAACTATTTCAGAAGATGAACACGTATAGATTTTTTGATAGAATTGCTCTTATAGTCTCATAATAATATAATGTTTAATGTATAGAAGTACGACATTGTAAATCTAATCAACTTTTCATGTGAGCATAACATTTAAAATCAGATCAAATTACATACCTTATCAATTGAAAGTCGAGGTTTCTCTAAGTAGTCCGGAGTTCTGGATTGTTCTAGGAAACGGATAATTAGTTGTGAGAAAACAAACAACTGCCGGATCAAGGAACTATATACAAGAATTAAATTTGAAATATTTCCTAATATGTTATAGTGTACAAGTAAATAGGACCTATTTGGCAAATTTCTGCTAACATATGCAGAAAATTATCTTTTGCCCTAAATAAGTACAATTATATATATATATATATATATATATATATATATATATATATATATATATATATATATATATATATATATATATATATATATATGAAGTAATATAGTCCATAACACCCCCCCCCCATCTCAAAAAAAGCATCCCTTGATTTATTTACAGCTCCTGTTGCTTTTATTCATTATAATGTTATTGAACGGGAATTTCATTTGGCATTGATGTACACAGTACATTAGGCAATTGATTTTTAAGTACTATTGTATTATAGATATACAAACTAAGTGGTGTGAACAGTTATAAGAAAACCGAATAAAAAAGAAAATTGCCTAAAATTTAATTATACAATTATAGTTTTCTTTAAGTTGATTGTCCACAATAGATATGTTTAACGGTATAGCCCGTAGCCCCAGTGCTCACATGAAATTCATCCTTCTTAGATACTAAATTGGTCTTTAGATGGTTTTAAACTAAGTTTTGTCATCAAAACTCCAATTACATTTAACACTGACATGTATTATTTAGTTCTGACAATTTTTATTTTACTCGTATTGTGATTTTTTGTTTTATTTTGTTAGATTTCACAGGATTTTTGTATAAATTGATTTAATATCCAAGTGAAAGGATTTATTAAATACATGTGAACTCCAAGATAATTTTAACAAATATTTACTGATACAGGCAACTATTTTTTATGGTCTCTCATTAAATGAAAAATATCATATGTATAGTCCGTAGCCCAAGGTCTCGAAATAGTCAATCAAAAAATATCTGACACAATTTTTCTCCGAGTATTACCAAATAAGATTGAAATTTTCATCCCCATATACAGTAGCGGTATCTGTAGAAAAATTTAAAGTACATTAGTGTATTTCTACTTCAAATGTCCAAATATTCAGAGTAGAAGAACTCTCAAAGATTAACAAATTTACATATTCCTTTATTTACTGTAACATTTTAATGGAAATGAGTTACATGATTTTTTTTTTTTGCTCATACAATATTTTGTGAAGAGTTTGTATTTGAATTATACTTTTTTTTGTTCAGTTGAATATGATAAAGATAAATGTTATCCCTGAATATGTACAATCCGTAGCCCATTTGGATCTCTGCTACAGGTATAGTAAGAGTGTAATCTTTTTAACACGCTTGACAGAAATGGACAGAAATTCAGACAATCTGCCAAAAGAATGTAGTGTTACATAGAACATACTTGTAATACTATTTATTTGACTTTATTCTTTGGTTTATTTGCAATCAACATGGGCACCTGATCTTGGCCAAGCCGATATCTACCCATACACGTACATGTACAGCTTGTTACGGGATGAGCATTTTCTCAAAGGGGGCCGGGGGGATAGCAGATTTTTGAAAAAAAACCCATGTCCTTGACAAATATTGCAAATAGATATTCTATCTTCCTGTGGGAAGAAAGTAAATTATCTGACCTTGACTGGCGGTACCTACACCCACCCCCAACACTACGTAGTTTTGATTTTATTCTATATATCAGGTATTAGAAAAAAAAATCAATTTTTGTCCTGAGGGTACCTTTCTAATCTTTCCTTCAAACTCCTCTCTTAGCATCGATAAACTATACCTTCCAATAGTGAATACTATATACATTCTACACATGTTAGAAGTACTTAAACTGTAAATTTCATTCTGAAAATTCTGAAATGACATATGATACGCAAAAAACCACACACACAATTAAAATCGCACGAAAATTCACAAGAATTGAAATATTTGGTCATATCAGAATGGGGGTTGGTGGGTAGTAGGTTAAAATTTCGTAAAATAGCTCACCAGTAAAGATCTTTCAGAAATGAAATATGGGAGACCCCCCCCCCCCCCAATACATATTAACTTAAATTACAATGTATATATTAAAATTTCTTTTCGTTTTCATAATATTTGTACATGTTAAGCGTAAAGTTTTTGCGCACTTATTTCTGTGTGCTTAGGTCAAGGTTATTTAAGGGTCCTCCTCACCCCGTGACTTGTGACGTATATCCAGAAAAAATACTTTTACCTCCGGTTTTATATAGTTTGTGCACTGACGATTTGACTGGCACCGCCTGTAAAAGAATCTTATAAACACGTCAGATATAAAGGTTTTGTCAAAGAAAGAGTATGCAGTCAACCGAGAGCGACACCCTGAGCATAAACAATGAACACATGGCATGATCACGGCGTGACCGAAAGAAGAAAAAGTGTCGATTTTTTCAAAAAAAAAAAAAAAGCAGACGTTTGAGTTTTTGTAGCATAATGGTTCGTAAATAACAGGTATATCTACTCGAAAACGTTTAAGTTTATTTATACTTTCAGGCTAATATCGTCAACTGGCCAACACTTGGTCTGTAACAGACTGTTGTGAAAAGTTGATATTTGTGCGTTTCAATAATCCTACCTAACTCATTGTGTGTTTATAAATATTGATCAAGTGTGCATTTCTAGTTTTGCTCATTTATGTCTGTCCTGTTCAGTTGTGAATAACGAGTTACTGAGTACATGTATGATGACGTATGCGGAGACAAGTTTACCAAAGTTTTTGAGTCCTGGGTAACAGGAAAGATAATTCTAAAACGGAACTTTGATACTACAGATTTTTAAAACAATTTTTCTAAATCAATAAATTTGATTTTAATTCAATTTTTTATTGTAATTTAATTCATTTCTAAGTAGTTCAGAGAAGTTACTACAGTTAGAACATTGATATTTTACGGACAGCCTTATCCTAGCCGCGTATAAAAGAACACTATGAACGAGTGTCAACAGTATCTACAGAGATTACTATTCCCCTCCAGAAAACACGGGGAAGATTGGTGAAATAATAAAAAAAGAATTAACAAATAAATTTTGAATTTGAACCAAGAATGTCATTCAAAGCGTGAGCTTTGAGGTAATGGTGGGATATCATGCATAGAACATGATGAAGTGTCCTACGTCAGCATGACTAGGTTATTCAAAGCGAAAGCTTTGAGGTATTGATGGGATATCATGCGTAAATCATGATGAAATGTCATACGTCAGCATGACTAGGCCAAGCATAAGCTTTGAGGCATTGATGGGATATCATGTGTAAAACATGATGAAGTGTCATACGTCAGCATGACTTGGCCATTCAAAGCATAAACTTTGAGGTATTGATGGGATGTCATGCGTTAAACATGATGAAGTGTCATACGTCAGTATGACTAGGCCATTCAAAGCGTAAGCTTTGATATCAACTGGAAGATGGCATGGTATACCACATGTACACTTTGTAATACTTCTGTAATTGTTGACGAATTTCATTATATCCTAGAATGTAAAGTTAGTTAATGTAAAAAAAAATATTATCTAGGCAATTATTATTCTTGCAGGCCGAATTTTGTTAAATTCATGGAACTAATGTTAACTCAAAATGAACCCCCCCCCCCCCCCAAACTGTTTGTTTATTTAAAAGAAATTTTCATACTGTCTGTCCTCCTCGATATATTTCCTCCTTTTTTCATAGTTACTCATTTTCTGTAATCTTTTTTGTATTGAATATGTACTACTGACCAATTTGTATAAAATGTATATACATGTATGTTATTAATGTACCTCTTGTACCAATATTTTGGTTTGGGTGAATAAATTGAAATTGAAATCGGAAAAAAATGACTATACCCAAACAATAAAATACTACTTAAATATAGTTTACTATAGTTAAATTTAGTAAATCAAAGTTTCAAAGTGATCACTATAGTAAATCAAAGTTTTCACCATAGTAAATCAAAGTTTTCATAGTGATCACTATAGTAAATCAAAGTGTCAAAGTTATCACTATAGTAAATCAAAGTGTCAAAGTTATCATTTTAGTTAACTATAGTTTTCATAGTGTCAAAGTTATCACTATAGTGATATTTTGGTCTATTGAAATTGAAAATAAATATATAAAGTGTTTTGATAAAGCATAATCAAAATATTTCTAGCGTCTTTTTTTTTTAGTCCTTTGTATAGATGAATAGAGCTCACCAGAAAGTTTTATTTAAAAAGTTTATTTTGATACAATTAATCGGTTAATCGTTAGGAATGTCTTTCGGTTAACCGATTGGCAATTCGGAATTTGATTGCCATCATTTATACACAAACACAATGATCCGTATCCGTGGGCTCTAACCACAGGCCGACTCCCGCTGCTATCAGACATTTTTCGCTCTCTCTCTCTGGCATCCATATACATGTAGGAGAAGTCCATGCGACTTTTCCGCCATACGACTTAATATCGTCGGCAAGTCATACCATGGGACAGTCACACAGATACTACAGAAAGATCCACCCTTCATATCGAGTCTAGAGTGTGACGTCACAGAAGTTCGTGATACCCGAGTTTGTTTATTCTCCGAAACATAGAATGCTTTTAATTTAAGGAATGAATTTAATAGCTACCCAAATTATACTGGTATAACCTGGGTTGGGACAGTTAACGCTTTATAAACCGTTAAGTGTAAAAAGAAGACAATTTCTCCTTCAGAAATGCCTTCAAATTGTACGTATTTAAATGTAACGTCAAGCGGATTGATAAGTTTTTGACATAAGTCAGTGTGACGTAGGCAATCCAGGTTATACTACATATTCTTTATATATATATTTTTTATCCAATCAAATGACGCGTTACAACCAAAATTAGATTATTAAAGGTTGAATAAAGCCGAATAATTCTGTTTTTAAAAAATGTGTATGTCTGACAGGTCGTTAAAAGTCAACAGTTTCTGCCGATTCAGTCCGTGAATGACGCCACACGTCGGGACTATTATCAAATATGAATGAGTGCAAGTTGAGTTGTAGCTAGAAGTAGAAAACGAAAGTAAAAGGATTTGTACTGCAAGGATAGGATTTGAATTAAAGTAATGATTCACAAACATGTTTTCCAAATGTATACACCTTAAATAAAGCCATTGTTGGAAGGCACACTTGCACAGAAAGCAATAAAGTGACAGGTAAAGTCACCGATATCCTTTCATTGCAATTTTTGAGTTTTAAACACCTCTTAGACTACTAATGGTATATTGAAAAGTGCTGGGAGTTGGTTTTGGGCTGTAAACGTTGTTTTCCCATAATTTAACAATTTATTTCGAAGCGTATTACGTCAGTCTCGGAAGTTTATAGAAGATGGCTAAATTTTACATAATTCCCAAGCATGAGGAAATTGCTCCCAGCACTTTTCAGGTTAAGAAATTCGTCTAAAAGAAAAAACATTATCAATTTTATAGCGGAAAGATTATCCGTATATCGTTGAACTTAACGATCTTTCTTATTTTGTAATTTAAAACTGTCGCTTTAAACAGCTCATGTAAGTGACGTTGTTTTGCCTGTATCAGCAGAGACCCTATATATACTTATGTATTTACAAATTCCAATTTAACAAAATTCGCGCTGATAATAAAAAAAATATGGACTGTATCCATTTACTTGATATATTATTTAATGCATATTTTCCATGGGCTTCTTTAACCTAGCTTCGATTAAACAATGACTATCATATTAAAATATAGTGACTTTCACAAGAGAATGGCAAAATTGTTGTCTATGAGTTTGATATAAAGCACACGTTTTCTTTTTTTAAAAAGTAATTTCATAATGAATAAATGTTTAGATCTTTTCGTTGGTTTTCTTTTTTAAAAAAAATTTCACTGTAAACACTTAATTTCGACACACAAAGAAATGTATGACCATGGTCTTATACCTCTGTGTAAAAGAAAAATTCAAATGTCGTCCCTGTATTATTATTTTCCCTGGACTGTGATCTGTAAACGATATAAGCCAAAAACTGTACATTTTGAGGCTTATATCCTCCTTAAAACGTAAAAACCTTTGTGTTAAGAATGGACAGTATCAGGTAAATTTGTTTACTGTGATGACATGTTTCCTGTTACCAATTGTCTTCGTAATGTACTCTCCCAGGTAAAGCAGGTTAAACAATGGAAACTGGTATCGTATTAAGAATTGATTTTGTAAGGTAGCGCACATAATATGACAACTTCATTGTTTACAGAATGGACAGTCATAGGTAAGCTAGGGATGCACAGCAATTTGTTGAATAGCCATTGTGGTTCCAGATGCAAAATAACAAAAAGTCTTTGTCTAAAGAATGGACAGTTACAGGTAGATTTTGGGGAATAGCAGTATTTATACAAGTATCTGATGCTTCAAAATCAATTAATAGTTTGCGTTGTAAATGCATTCCTCCGATGGAGAGAGTATGACAATCCAATTCTAATAAGCGACAAAGATCACCAAAAATCAGTGACATTTGGGCCTGGAAACAAAGAAAAATGAGAGTAAAAGACAATATTTGCCAGACTCCGACCTGAAAATGGATTTCTTTTCCAACAAAATACACTGATAATCAAATTTGAATCAAATCTTGAATTTTTTTTTAAATTTAAATTCAATTTTTGAGGAGACATATTGACTACAGGGGGTGCAGACTGTGTTCGTAGTGTTGGATTAACCATGAACCGAACCTCGACCTGAAAATGTTTATCCTTTCCAAAGAAATACTGGTATCCAAATTCAATTCTTTGGAAATGTTTGAATTCTAATCATTTTCTAAGGAAACATTAACTGCAACATGTCATGTTCATGGTGCAAACTTTGTTCTGCCTGTTCGATTTAATATTAGCCGTACGGAATGATGTTTCTGAAATTTTAATCTAATGTGGAAATGTGTCATTTTAATTCACGTTTTGACATAAAAAGTGAAAATTGAGTTTTAAGTACTGAAATAATGTGTATCATTCATGAATTTAAAAGTGCAGAATCAAGAGGATGCTGTGCAAATATTGTGTTCTGGATTAACTAAGATCTCCATGTTCTTCTTTGTTATTTACATGTAAATTCAATCGTATTTATTGTATTAATTTTGTTTTTGTTTCCCTCTTGGGTACATTCCAAATTTTACCTTTAACTCTCCATTCTGTTTGTTCTAACTGTCCATTCTTTTTTGAAAAAAACCTGTCCGTTCTTAAAAAAGAAAGGAAATTTTTCCAAAAAAGAACGGACACTTACAGGTAACTTAATGGATTGTTTGAGGAGTTAGCTCAACATTAAGCTACAGAATGGACAACACAAGCAAAAGGTTTACGTCACAATCATGTTTTAATTAGGAATTATAATACGTCCGCATATTTTCTTTACTTACATTGCACAGAGAATGTGGTTACTGGTAATAAATATTATTTTCCTCGTCATTTCACATGTAAAACTTTATTCAATTTTTTCAAATAAAAAACTATTTCAATTGATCAGAAATCCCGAGAAATGCGAGAGATGATTTCCTCCCGCAATGTAGGGAAACCCAGTTGCTGGGTCACTGAGGTTCACATATACTTTGTCCCCTTTTGAAAGCTCCAGTAATGTATTTTCTGATCTTTTGAGCCATAAACCTTCAGTTCCGATAAACAAGTATCCAGCAACTCTGCTGTTTTTTATGATATGTATCCTTAGGTAGTCCTTGTTATTAGCGGGGGTTGGGGCTTGAAGTCCAATAGTGACCATAAAGAAGTATGACCCAGATACGGGAGCGGTAAAGATACCAGTATTATTGTTGTAAGCTCCTCCCTTATTTGTTAGAACATTTCCAAAAATTAGAGTCCCTCTGACTATTTTCATATTGCTCGCAGCAGTCGCCATGAATGAGATATGATGAGCTGAAATAACAGAATCGTTATCTAATTATATGAAAATTATATGGGAAAAAAATCAACATATGGAGAACTAAGTCTGATATTCCAACTTGCATATATCCACTGTATTGAATTTGTATATATCCACCGTATTGAATTTGCATATGTAAACCGTATTGAATTTCCATGAACAAATTTTATACAATGAAGCGCATTGAGGTGGTAGATTTTTTCGTATAAATGGAACGTTTGGGTCTTTGTTATTAAACGTAAATTGTTACATAGTAACACGCCCATTTCTTTATAAACGAGAAAGCAGTTTCAAGACACCCACTCTGTGACTAGCAACATGGGTTTTGCTGAAATGGAGATTTTATGAAGTTAAGAGAGAAAGAGTTAGAGACTCCCTGCTTCTGTAAAACTCACGTATCGCAACGAATATGTACATAATTTAAAAATTAAACGAGACTTACCTTGGTTAAGGTGAAGTTTGATTGAGATTCTATGAGGAAAATAAAATCAATAAAGAGATCACGTAAGATTGCACTGCGCCTGTGCGGATTCAGGATTAAAGCGAAAACATTTTTTGTAACATCATTCACACAAATGTGTTCATCATACATCAGTGTATGATGAACAAATGAAGATTTCTTCTTCTGCATACAACTCAGTGTTAAGGTATGAGTAGTCTGTATTCTAGCAGCACAAGTTAAACATATGCACAGTTTACAAGTAAGATCTTTCAAACTTAAATGTTTCACAGGTGACAATTTCCTAAGGAAACCTAATACAATCGTAACATCCCACACATAATCAAGTTTAGGTGCAGGAGGTCTCAAATTAAAGACTCCTTTCATAAAGCGAATAATAACAGGGTGAGACCCAATAGCATGTCCATCAATAACAAAACCTAATGCAGACAAGGATGCTCTGGCTGTGTTGAAAGCACTATAACTTAAGTTATTATTGTATAACATAGTAAAAAATTCAATGAAATGATTTAAAGAAATTTGAAATTGATTAATATTCCTTTTTCTTAACAATAGAAACCCATCTCTTATGGAAAGTCATGTACTGTTTCTTTGTACTGCCTCTCCAAGACGCCATGAGGATATTGGTAGCGTCAGACGAAAAGCCCGAGTTTTTGAAATGTTTCACGACAATCGACATGCCATCATCAACAGCATTAACAGTTCCAGAACTTTGGTGTACCACACTTGAGTCGTCCAGACTGGCACCATCATGATGCATTCTGCTCTTTCTTCCATGATCTTCTGCAAACACTTCCCTATCAAGCTAAAAGGAGGAAAAATGAAACTATAATATTTGCTCAAATCAACAGTAAATGTATAAAAAAAACCTGCATAGGGGTCAGGCTTCCACGATTCTATTTGTAAACAAATCAATACTAGGCATTCCAAATAAAGTAGTAATATCATAAGTATTTAGTTACCATTCAGTTTGATCCTCAAACTTTCTAGATTTTCTATCTGCAACAACATTATCTACTCCAGGTATGTGAGCGACCAATAGCCAGATGTTCCTATCAATGCACCAAGCCCAGATCTGCCTTACTATTTCATTGCATAAATGGGAGTGAATACCACCCATATTATTTATGTAACTAACAGCAGTTACATTAACATAACTTTGATTGAATCATGATTTTGGTCTTTGAAAAAAAGATTTCAGTGCATAAAAACATGCAAGAAGTTCTAAGGCATTGATGTGATAAGACTGTTCAGTGTCTGAACAGTGACCACCTATCTCTTGATTATTAAAGGTGGCACCCCAACCCAATAATGAAACATCGGAATAAACTTCAAAATTTATAGACCCATGACGTATATGTCTACAAGCTATTTGAACATTCTTTACCCACCATTACAAGTTGTCTTTCACTTCACGACTTATACACATTGTAGAACCAAAATTTCCATAAGAGCATTTAAGGGTCTCAATTTTTCTCTTTATAACCTTCAGAGCACTTTACAATGTGTCCATCTTAAAATGATGGTACTTAATGAACTGATTTAAAACTTTCAAATTCAAAATCATTCTAAATTCCTCATTGCGTTTCGGTCTAAGAAAAATAGTCGACACAAATCCAACATCGTCTGTATTAATTTCTTTAATAACTTCCATTTCCAGACGTTTACTAATCTTTTTTTTAATGTATGAACATTTTTTCTCATTAAACTTTATTTGATGAGGAAGAGAAGTTTGAACTGGTATAGAGTCATTTTCAAACTCTAAATGACAATGTTGGAAATATCAAAAATGCTTTTATCAGAAGTGAGTTTTTCCCATTCAGAAATAAATTGTTTCAACTTTCAAGCTACAAAAATTCGATTTTCTGGAATAAATTTTTGACTTACCTGGAAGTCTACTTGATGATGTTGGGTCGAGAGCTCCCTTGATGACCTTTGAAGCTTTTTGGGTCACTGTATACTGAGTAACCTCTGGTCTGTCCCTGGGTCACATGGGTCATCGAAATTACCAATTTTGTCACAAACTTTTACCATAATGGTAGCTGCTTTAACCACAGAAGTCTCTACATTTTGTAGTTTCTTGTCAACTGTACGAGTATTGGGTTGTAGGGATCCCCATACTAAGTAGTTTGTTTTTACTGTAACTAGACTTTCCCATTTATCTGGTCTAGCATTCACCGAGTCTTTCGTAAGTTTAGTGTATCTATCATCTTCTATCCCTTGTCTAAACCAGTCATTAACACACAAAGCTAACCCTTAGTTTACAGAAGTATTACATACCTCCTTGATTTTGACTTTTTCTCCCGCAAATTTTAATTTTTTGTCAGTACCTGACGATGTCGCAGAGTTGTTATTAACAGTAGCAGTATGCCAGTGACATGATCGGCGGCAATATCATCATAAACAGTGACCACGTCACTGTCCGGAATAAGGCCATAATCATCAAGCCGTCGTAATCTTTCGCCATTGCGAAAAGTTCATCCACACGATGACTTAAGTAATTAAAGTTCTGATCCGACTTACAATGTACATTGACTTTCCTGGATTGACTTCAGAACGTTAAGCACGTCCGTGATAGATGGGTCAGAGCCACTCAGGCCTGACGATACATTAAATCTGCGAACATCTGAGCCTCTGTCCTTCACTGACAAAGCCACTGAATGCTGACTCGACACAGAGTCTGGTTTGGCGGATTTGCTAGGTTTCTTACTACCAATGGTTCCAACTTTTCTTTTTCTGTTGTAACCCGTTTTGTCCTCAGCTTTTTCTGCAGGAATAATTGCGTTTTTCTCTGGAGACAACATGGCATTCGCCATAGTCGAACCACGTGCGATCAACCACGTGCAACCAGTCATTTTAAGAATGTCAACGTTCAAAAGAAAGCCCAAAACGTTCGATTTAAACGGAAAATTTTACCACTTCAATGCGCTTCATTGTAAGTAAGAAGACATTTTTTAACTTACACCAAGTCTGAGTTGCAATGGTCGAATTTTCTCCTACTCGCCGTTACACAAAATAAAATATGAAAATGGTCTATATCGACGCTAATTTGCCCTGAATATTTTATTTAAAAATCTGAAGTGTACACAAAACCTAAATAATACATGTAACCTTCAGAACGTTTACTATGCATTTGCCGTTGAAGATAAAATTCGATTTTTTTTTTCAAAAATGCCTGAATGTGACCTAAACTCTGAAGTGATGCTGGAATGACTGTAGAAGGATTTTTTTCAATGATTTAAGCAAACATAGAAACAGTAATGATTTCTTAATTACAAAGTTCCAAACAGAGTATTTATTTAATTATTACCATAAATCCAACGTTCAGTTTAAATGATATGGCGCGTACTACAACTTAATACTGTGACATCATTTATTTTATGATTAATTATGAGAATTTCTCCATATGGCAAACTTACTTGGACTGTTAAGTGAAGGTCCGACGGATTTGACTTTTGACTCCAAAAACGTCATTTTTTCCTTAATACACGTATTATATCCGGTCAGGTCAAGTTGACACGAGTCCATCTTTGTGCACCATACCGTCATTACCAAAGCAAGGTATGTGCAGAGAAGCAACATGATTTGAGACATTATTTGGCTGACACAAGGAGTTTCAGAGGTATATATACAGTATATCTCCATGTATGTCTGTCATTAGTTATACATCAAAATGATGAATTTAAAAATAAAAATATCGAAACGTGATATGCCAATGAAGTTGAAAAACTACATCACATGTTGGCTTAATTAACAATCAACCGCCAGCTATTTTTTAAACAAAACTGTACATGTACGAAATTATTATTTTCTTATGAATATTTGAATATTTGATTATATCGCTGTAGTAACCTATAGTAAAAACTTTGAAACTTTATGAAGTTAAACTCGAAAACTTTTTTGAATTTGAAGGCCTTAATGCCTCTTTAATTACACATTACTGATGCAGTTATAATATGTTAATATACAAGAATAATTTCTTATTAATATCAAAGAAGTGCAAGTAAGACGCAGAGAAAATGAAACTTTGATTAACTTAAGGACAAACTTTGATATTCTAGTACCTACCTACCTAGTCCTTGTTATGCCCGTGGGCACAAATGGCAAGGACTAGCTTTTTCCACTTCTCTCTATCTTGAGCATTTTTTTCCAGTTCTCCCCAAGTTAGTTTGTGCTCTCTCATCTCCTTTTCCACAGTCCTTCCACAGGTGTTCTTTGGCCGACCAGGTTTCCTCTTCCCTTCTGGTGTCCATCTAAGGGCTACTTTGGTGATGTTGTTGACTGGTTTTCTTAACACATGTCCTATCCATCGCCATCTCCGTTTTGTCAATAAAGTTATCATATCGTCTGTGTTTGCTTTCTCATGGAGTTCCACACTGGTAATTTTATTTGGCCAGAAAATCCTCATGATCTTTCTGAGGCATCCATTGTGGAAACTAGAAAGTCTGCATGTCTCCTTCTGTCATTCTCCAGCATTCTGCCCCATGGAGTAGGACAGACAGGACGCAGCTGTTATAGATTCTTATTTTTGTCCTTCTACTTATGTCATTTGTTTTCCAGATGTTCTTGGGGCTGATGAAGGCACCCCTAGCTTTACTTAGTCTGGCCTTTATATCTTTGTCCGCATCCCCATCTGATGTTACTATGCTGCCAAGATAGTTAAATGTTGTTGTGTTGCTCAGGTTATTTCCATCTACCTGTATTTTTGCTGGTTGTTTGGTGTTTAATGACATGACTTCAGTTTTCTTGGTATTGATCTTCAGTCCAATTTTTTCTGCATTACTCTTTGCATTAATTTTGATGTTTTACTTTGCATATGCTTTTCTAGTTGTGACAGTAGGGCCAAGTCATCTGCATAGTCTAGGTCTTCAAGACTGGTAAAAAGAGTCCATCTTATTCCTGTGTTATCTCCATTAAGGGTTGATTTCATTACCCAGTCTATTGCTAATATAAAAAGGAGAGCTGGCATCACACAACCCTGCCTCACGCCACATTTTTCTATGAAGCATGCATCTGATGAGCTGCCAATAGAGCAATTAAACTCCAAGTAAAAAGCTTTAATCAGTTCTACTATCTTTGATGGTATTCCATAATGACTTAAGATCTTCCATAAGCTTTCTCTGTGTATACTGTCAAAGGCTTTTTAAAAATCTATAAAGTTTATTATTATAAGCTGCCTTTGGCACTCTGTACATTGCTCTATAATGTTTCTTAGGGTAAACACCTGGTCACAACAGCTTTTTCCTTTCCTAAAACCTGCTTGCTCTTGTCTTATTTTGGCATCGACTGCAGTCTTAATTCTATCGATTATTATTCTGCTAAAAATCTTACTAGGTATTGATAGTAAGGTGATGCCCCTCCAGTTATTACAGTTAGTTAGATCTCCTTTCTTTGGCAGTTTAATGATATTTCCTTTGGACCATGTCGTTTTTTTGTTTGTTTGTATGTTGTTTAACGTCCCTCTCGAGAATTTTTCACTCATATGGAGACGCCACCACTTGCCGGTGGAGAGCTGCAAATTTTGTCCTATTCTCGGCACTTACGGCCATTGAGCAGTGAGTGATCTTTTTCGTGCCAGCACCTACTGCGACACGGGACCTCAGTTTATACGGTCTCATCCGAAGGACCGACCATGTCGTAGATATTGTGTTATTATTCCAGATCTTGGTGAATAATAGGTGTAAAATGTCAACTGCTAGGTTTGGATCTGCTTTAAATAACTCTGCTGGCAGTTGGTCATTTCCAGGTGCTTTGTTGTTCTTCAGGGTTGTTGTTATTGCTTTGTGTATTTCAGCTTTAGATGGTTCCTCAGTTTCAATTTCTAAATCAATGTCAGCTTCCTGTATGTGTGCCAGCTCGTTAGGCTCTGGGCATTTCAACACTTCTTCAAAATGTTTTCTCCATCTTTCATCTTGTTGTCTTTCAGATTTAATAAGGTTGCCTTGCTTATCTTTCACAGGTATGTTTGTTTTTCTTTTCCTTCCACTTAACTTTTTTGTTATTTGATAGAGATCTCCCATTCTTTGTTCAGAAGCAGCTTTCTCAGCTTCTCTTGCCATACCTTCTATAAAGCTTTTACGATCTTTCTTTGTTGCTTTCTTTACATCTCTATTACAATTGGAATATTGTTCTCTTAGTCTCTCTTTTATTCCTTCCGAGTGGGTGTTACATAACTTAGTTTTAAGGTCTTTCCTTTTATCAATTTTTTTCCAAGTATCTGGTGTAATCCATTCCTTATGCACCTGCCTCTTGAACCCTAGAGTCTTCTTGCTTGTTTCACTGAACAAGTTGCAGATTTTACCCCAGTGCTCGTCAACCACTTCCTCATTCTCAACATCACCACATTGCAAGACCTGAAATCTGTTCTTGAGCTCTAATCTAAAGTCTTGTCTCACTTTGTTTTCTCTCAGCTTGCCTGTATTTATTCGCCTGATGTTGCTTTTTGGCGCTACTTTTATCAGCTTGAGCTTTATATGGGCAGTAACAAGGTGGTGATCACTTCCAACATCAGCACCACGTTTCACTCTTACATCCTGTAAAGATCTTTTCCACTTTCCATTGATGGCAATGTGGTCAATTTGGTTTTCATCTCTCTCTCCCATGTGAGTTTGTGTATCTCTTTATGCTGGAATAGTGTACCACCAATGACCATGTTGTTGTTTCCACAGAATTCCGTGAATTTTTCGCCATTCTCATTCATACTTCCACAGCCATACCTCCCCATAACTTTTTCATAACAAACATTATCGCTTTCAACTTTCGCATTTAGATCTCCCATGATGATCGTCAGATCTTGCTTTGGAACTTTTTGAAATTCTGCCTGTAGAGCCCCATAGAATTCCTCTTTAATCTCATTTTTTGCTTCATTTGTAGGGGCATAAATCTGTATTACAGATGTCTGTACAGGTTTTGTTTTCAGTCTTATTCTGATGATTCTTTCATTCACAGGATGGTATTCTACTAATGCTTTTGCTGCTGTTTTACTTAGGATGATAGCTACCCCCTCATGATGTTGATTGTCCCTTCTTCCAGAGTACACAATAACTTCACCTGCACTGGCAATATTCTTCCCGCAATCTGTCCATCTACACTCACTTATGCCTAGTACATGTAACCTGTTTTCCTTCATCTCTTTCAGAACTTGAGCCTGTTTACCTGTTTCATACATTGTACGTACGTTCCAAAAACCGACTCTCATTTTAGTTCGTATGTTCAGTATACTTCTCGTGTGGACAGCTTCCTGTCGGGTTTCACTGTTCACAGTCAAACATGCAGTATTTATTCTGCTGGTACGCTGAAAACTCGACGTTAGTAGAAATATTTCTAGTCCTTGTATCCGTAATCGCTATGGTTTTAAAAGAAGGGGAGATTACCCCTTGCCCAACCCCCAACCTGGAGGACAAGGGTAATTTTTTATGGTTTCCTTCCACTAGATCTATGGCGTTCCATGACTGACAAGTCTAGATCTGCCCGTAATTTTTAAATTAGAGAGTTTATCTTCTCCTAGGTAACTGCCTTACCTGGATAATGCCCTTACCTGAGCGGATTTCTGTAGGGTTTACTCCTTAGCCTTTCCTTCTCCCAAAGGTAACCACAAGGCAGCAGTTTGTTGCTATTTACCCATAGCTGGGGACTAGGATTGCAGGCACCAGAGCATATCCACACACCGGTGGGCCATGCATGCCGTGCATTTAGGGGCATAGTCTCCTCCAAGACTTTGTGGATTCTGCTTGGGGCCGCAAGGTACCCAATATCCATCGGCTACCTCGAGGAGGATCCATTTCTGAGCCACATAGGTCTAACTGTGGAGAGGCTGTACCTGGCAGGGAAGTCTCTCCTATTTTGCTTCTTTTTCACAGCAAACTGCTAGCCAGGGGTGGTGCTGAAATCGCGAGTGACAAGCACAGACACAGACAACATACACACTGTGCGCATCACAAAGCCATTATAGCAGACTGATATTCTAGTAAGCTATAGTAAACTATAGCTAACTATATTCTTTTTTTTTCTTGGGGATGACACGCCATGAATTTACCTTTAAGGTCAAGATCTAGTAAATGAAAGGAGCCTACAGATTTCTCAAATTTGAGAAATAAGTTCCTTTAAAGATGCTTTTTAAGTATAGCTTGGTCAAATAAGGTGTATCGGGGCATATTTTGTAGGTAAACAGGACGAAAAATCATATTTTACACTGTGTTTTTTGATAAAAAAATTTGATAAAATCAGTCATGAATATGGGAGTTTTTTCTTTATTGGAGAAAGGAAATGTATCCAGATTGCCTACTGTCTCTCAGAAAACGGTAATTTGTTTCTTCTTATCCTCTTCTTTATATTAATATCAAATTGAATATAGGTTTCCGGATTAATTTTCACATGATTTCAAATTGAATTCTATGAAAAAACTTTATTTTCTACATAATTCTATTAGAGCCGTAAAGTACGGGAAAAAGAAATTTTAAAACTGATTATGACGTCATAATGGATCTAGCACCAAAAAGACAGTCTAAAGTCATTTACTAGATCTTGACCTTAAGAAAATGGGTCATATATGTATTAATTTTGAGGTGTTCCATAAAATACAGAATTCCTTTCACCATAAGTGTTGGTCACATTATTTCTCATGTATAGAGTACCTAAAAATTACAAATAGAAAAGAAACAAAAAGAAAAAAATCAATAAGAAATGAAAAGAAAAGCAAAAGAAATTAAAATATGTATTCAAATTATTAAAACTGAATGAAAAATATATCAATAATTGTCAGTCGTGGCAAGACCAAATCAGTATTGCACTATTACACCGATCACGAAGTTAGCCCCCCCCCCCCCCCCAGGTCGGGAAGACACACGACCTTCCAATCCACATTAAGTGCTCTCAAAGTGTTCTCAAATGATCCATTAAATCGATATTGTGATAGAATTAAGGACTACTAATCAGATAATTTGGATACATCTTTTCCCTTTTTGGGCTCACCAGAGCCGAAGGCTATAGTGTGCTTTTCTGATCAAAATTTGTTTGTCGATGCTGTTGTGGTAAACTTTTTGAATTTTCATCGCCTATTCTAGCACCACTGGACAAGTTTTATCCAAACTTGCCACAAAGCATCCCTGGGTGAAGGGAATTTAACTTTTCAAATGAAGACCCACGCCCTCTTTCAAGGGGAGATCATTTAGAAAATCTTAAAATTATTAAAAAAACACGGGGCCAGAAAAATAAAAACTTATGTGAAAGGTTCATTACATGGTGTAGATTCAAGTTTATGTATGTAGGAAAAATCTTCTCAAGAACGACAAAGTCATGTTTAGACGCATCCTCAGGTAGTGTAGATTCAAATTTCTTCAAATCATGACCCCCCGAGGGGTAGGATGGAGCCACAACATGGAATCAGAGTTATACACAGGGTGGTGTAGATTTAAGTTTGTTCAAAGTATAACCCCCGGGGGTAGGATCGGGTCACAACAGGGGATCAAAGTATTGCATAGGAATATAAAAGAAACGTCTCAAGAACAGCAAAGCCATAATTACTCATATAAATACTGAAGCATCCTCAAGTGGTAGTGTAGATTGATGTTTGTTCAACAGGGGATCAGTTATACATAGAATAGGTAAGAAAAAATCTTAAAATATCTTTTCATGAAGAACAGCAAAGTCATGATTAGACATATTAATGTTGAAGCATCCTCTGGTAGTGTAGATTAAAATTTGTTCAAATCATGACCCTGTGGTTAGGGTGATACCAAAGAGGGTATCAAATTATAAATGGAAATATGTAGGAAAATCTTTAATAATCATCTTCTTAAGAACAGCAGAGTCACGATTAATCATAAAAATACAGAAGCATCCTCAGGTAATGTAAATTCAAATCAATTTAAGCACGACATCCAGGGGTATAGGGTGGGGCCACATTAAACAATCAAAGTTTTACATGAGAATTATATAGGAAACAAATCTTTAGAAATCTTCTAAACAACAGCAAGTGAAAAAATGGTGAAGATAACGAACAGTGATCAATCTAAAAATATTCACAAACAGTACAAATTTATGAACAGGGCGTGCAACACGGACCCCCGGAAATTCTTAAGGTGGGGTCAGTTGACCTGTCACACCCGCCGTGAGCCCATATAAATTTATCAGGTAGACGGAACATTCCGTACTCAAGTTCAGCATTAAACAAATTTAAGGCCTAACAATTGTTATGAAAAACGTCATGCAACCAAATACTATTCTCTTTAGAGAAGTGGACAGGCTTTCACCTACATCCACTTCTCTTTGCAAGCCTTAATGTTTTGATTACGGAAAACGTATACATTTAAAACCAGTGACGGCCTGCACTTCTTCGGGATGAAGAACTTGTTAAGAGAATCAATCAAGATTAACAACTCGTAAAGGTTGGTTTTCTTGTGACAATTGTTTATTTATGTTAAAATTGTTTATGTAACACGTCTATTACATAAATTCAGACATATATGAGTCGAAATGTCGGTTGAAGTGTATATAGGCCGTCAGCGGTTCTAAATGTATACGTTTTCCAGAATCAAAACATGAAAGCTTGCGAAGAGAAGTGGATGTAGGCGAAAGCCTGTCCATTTCTTAAAAGAGAATACCAAAATACGACCCAAAGAAAGATTATGTTTGTTAACTAAGTCATAACGACCATATAATTTACGAAATATAAGGCCATGATAATAATTATTAATATCAATATAGAAGGATCCTCAGCTGCAGGTAATGTAAATTCAAATTTGTTCAAATCATGACCTCCCGAGGGAGGTTGGGCCACGTTATGCTATCAAGCCCTTACATGGGAATAATATTGAAAAAAATCTTAAAATCTTATTCCAAAGATCAGTAATTAAGCCACGATTAGTGATATCAATACAGAAGCATCCTCCATTAGTGTTAATTGTAATTTGTTCATGATCACGGAGGTAGGATGGGGTCACATTAGGCAAGTTTTACATGGGAATAATATAAGAAAAAAAATCTTAAAAATTCGTCTGTAGTACAGCAAAGCCACAATGTGTCATATTTTTTTGGAAGGATTTAAACTTTTCAGTACTGAACTGAATTCCGCTTTTCTCGAACCAAAGTGTTCATGTGAGCTATGTGGTCTATGGGCCTCTTCTTTTTGTTTTCTTTCTCTTTCTTTCGTTCTTTTTGCTTTCCTTTCTTTTTCTTTTTGCATTTAATTTTGGATTTTATTTAACCCTTGCGACAGGATTTTTTGAATTCTATATCCAACTACAGAATATTGAATACCTTGTACATATTGGACTGTCAGAAAAGTTGATAATTTTATCTAATTCTATTTATAAATTCCACATTCATATATCTTTACATTTCGTATAAAACATTGTCTGGTAGATAAAATAAATTAAAAAGAAAACTCTGTTATCCATGCCACCGATTCTCGTATTAAAGTCTTATTTTATAAGCTATGAAATAATGTACGTCAGTGCTTTTTGTTTTTATGGTTTCGAACACGTTTCAATGGATGAGCAATGTCAGTAACTTAATTCTAAAGCACTGGGCGCTTTCTGTTGTTGGTGCAACAAAATCATAAAATTTTCCGTTTGAAAATGAAACGTTTTGCGCTTTCTTTTGAATAATGGTTTTTACATAATGATCGATTTCACACAAATGGTAAATTTTTCCTTCTGGGAGAAAAGCTTCATGCATGTCAGTGAAAAATAGTCTATTCAGTAGCACCAACAGTACTAATGCCCAATGCTTTAAGAGACAATGACTCATTCATCTATCGAAACGTGTTCAAAACATTTATAATTGTAATCGCTTATATGGATGACTTGCAAATGTTCATGCAGCCATTTGTTTTTCATAAAATGTACCTTTATTACAGAAGTGAAAAATGTAGTTAATTTTATATTTAATGTACACACCATGACTTTTAAGAATAGCACTACGAACAATGATAAAATGATGCGCATTGAAGTGGTTAGATTTTCCGTTGGAATCAAACGTTTTGAGTTTTTTTTTTTAATGTTGATTGTCACATAATGAAACGCCCATTTCCTTAGAAAGGAAAATATCGGGCAAGTGGTTCATTCGAATACATGTAGAACAGATATTCCATAAATAGACTGGTAAATCAGATTGGCAGTCTACATAAACACCGAGTAAGCACTTGTTCGACCGGTACAGGTGTTGTGATAACTTCAATGAACATGATTTATTCATAATTATGTGCATATTCTTTGCAATACGGAGTTTTCCGGAAGCTAGGAGTCTCTTACTCTCTCCTAACTTCATAAAATCTCCAATTCAGCAAAGCTCTTGTTCTTGGTAGCAGAGATTGGGATGTCTTTAAACATTTTGACGAATATTGCTTTCTCGTATCTAAAAAAATGGGCATGTCATTACGTAACAACTGAGGTTCGATAACAGACACAATGGTTCCATTCAAACGAAAATTTTTACCATTTCAATGCGCATCAATGTATATAAAACTTCAAAGGAAAGCGTCATTGCAGTTGTGATTTGTAAATTTTCTTCAATAAAAAATTGCATGTTCATCTGTTTCGGTATATAAAAAATTTCATGATAATCTAACAAAAAGGACTAAACACACCATTTTTTTATGGTAAACAAAAGAAACATACTAAAGCAATTTCCTTTTTACGGTGAATGTAACTGGATCTACCCTATAACCTTTGAATGGGTTAACAGAGACCACGTGTATTGAATTAAATCACTATTATAGCATAAGTATGGGTGCATAAAATTTTGAAATGGCAATTAAATGTCGTGATGTCCCGATATGTGGTACATAACCCTCTGGAAATCACGTTTTGATATTGCAACACGATAATTCATTATTAACATGTGTTACCATTGTTAGTCATGTATGTATATATCTCTTGTACTCTCAATTTATGGTGCCATATCGATCTCAAGAGACAAACTAGAGGCTAATGGGTCACATCACTTACCTGAGTCCCTTTGGTCCTGCTGTTCTTCATCAGCAGATTTTTCAAACATAAATTTTCCCTCTTTAGTTTTTCTGAAATTGACTCTATTGTGGACCAAAATCAGCCCTTAAGAAGCTTTCATTTAATCATAGTTGAATTCGCACAAGAAATATCAATACAATCAGTATGAGCATAGACCCTGCTGTTCTGGAGATTTTTTCTTGTACACATGCATTACATAAAATTTGGATCTCTTAATTCCGCCCAACCCTAAACGAGAGCTCACAAATAAAAAAAATGATTTCACACAGCTAAGATATGTTTTGCTTATTAATATGATTTAATGTGGTCTTGCCACTTCTGAAAAAAAAAAAAAACTACTTATACTCTTGTAAAACACCGATCCCCTAGTGTAGCCTCAACCTACAATGAAGCGCATTGAAGTGGCAAAATTTTACGTTTGAATGGAACGTATTGGGGTTTCTTTAAATCGTTGATTGTCATATAATGACACGCCCATTTCTTTAGAAAGGAAAAAAGCTGTCAAATGGTTCATTCGAATACCTGTGGAACTGGTATTCTATAAATACAATAGCCAATCAAATTGACAGTCTACAAAACACGTGTTCGATCGATGCATGTGCTGTGGTAACTCCAATAAACGATACATTCATAACTTTGTACACATTCGTTGCAATATGTGTTTTACAGATGGAAGCGCGGTCTCTAACTCTTTTTCAACTTTTTAAAATCTCCATTTCAGTGTAAGTCATGTTGCTAGTCGCAGAGAGTGGGGTGTTCTTAAGCATTACGATGATTATTTCTTTCTCGGTTCAAAGAAATGGGCATGTCATTATGTAGCAATTGACTTTCGATAAGAAACACCAAAACTTTCCAACGAAAAATTTTACCACTTCAATGCGCTTCATTGTATTCCCGAGGGCCCTGTTCTCAACAAACTTCAATTTACAGGAACTGAGGATGATTGCGTTTCAATATGACTAGTTATGTCTTTCCTGTTTGTTAGACGAAGATATTTAAAGATTTTTTTTTCTATAAATTCCGAACTTCTATGTAAAAGAATGAATCTTCATAACACTGTTTTTCGACCCTTTTTAAATGCAGAATTTTACCCTTTTAAATCAGAACATTTTTATATTATAGCTAAAGTCTTCAAGTATAGTCTGTATAGAGATACTCATAAAGGATTTTTTTTTAGGAAAGAGACTTTCAATACATACATTATATCGATTAAATAATACCGTATACTTCACTGTAAAATCCCAGCTTCGCCATTACAGCTATGTAGGTCATGGTATTATTTGAATGAGAAGGCGGAGCGTCTATTAAGCGTGCGATTAGTATAAATATATTAGAGTGTGTTCGAGGTGTACTAAGTTTATGATCAACTGGCACCTAATAACCCTCTTTTTAGTGCTAGAGATCGACCAAATATAAGCAAACATTTTTAAACTGGCAGGCTTAATTTTGTTTTTTTTTTCTGCTTAATTTACAAGTTCTACATGTATTTGAAATGATTTACTAGAAATTCGTTAAATTGTCTATACATTAAATACACAATGGAATTTGTAAACAGAACGTATTTAACGCATGATACACTTTTTTTTCATTCTTTAAAAAAACCTTATTTTTAAAGAGATAATTAATCCATAAAAGCTTATTAAATTTACGTGTATAATTAGAATTTATTTTATAGCATACATATCATTTTGCAAAATCCGAGTGCTACAACAAATACACGTAGGCGGTTGAATTATGATATAAAACTTCACTCTGTGTATAAAAAATAAAATCGCAAGAAAGTGAAAATTAAAACGTCAATTAAACGTCAGTATCATCGCTGGTTGATAAAGAAACATCATTGTCAGTGTGCTTTGTACAGTCCAGACTGCATTGCTGTAAAAAGTTATAGCATTTACAGTGTCGTCAGAAGAAACCTGAAGATTCCCTCTATTCAAATAAGGGGTGCATTTTGTGCAAATTAAATGTATTGATCCAGTGACTTTTCATTCGATATACCGGTCTTTTTAGCGTTCCATACTTGAATTTCTTTCCCTTAAAGTTTATTTAGTTGGTAATATGCATTTGTGTACTTTTAACAAACAGTTTTTTCCCCCTAAAGATATGATGAATTGGTATTTTTCAAATAACGATCTATAAAATGAATGACAGTTTTAACTAAAAAGAAATCTTTCATATCTTCCAAGAACGAAGCACTGATGTATATTTAGAAACAAAGGCAATTGTATACATGTAATTATATACCCACAGTAATTTAAATTTTAAAATTCTGTATTAATGAGACACAAGCAGTAAGTGCAAGCTATATGCTACAGGCCTATAATATAAACTGATAGATACCGAAAAAAAAATCAAACAAAATCGACTGAAATAGCGTTTATTAACAAGTAAATCAAAAATTTTAACACATCTTAACCATAAAAAAGTTTTTTTCCCCTAGAATTCTAATTAACCATTTGAAAATGATTTGACCATCGATAGCTCGCAGACACTATACACGATGTCGCATAGGTGTGTTCAAAACATGAAAGTGAGTATATTTGAGTCACGTGTTCAGTGCTTTGTTATTCATGAGGTCAAAGACGGGTTGAAATTTGTAAACAAGGTGCCTTTACTATAGAGACAAGCACCCGTGATTTTGCACCTTTTTGGAAAATAACAAATGAGCACACGACTGTTTCAATTTCTTTCATGAATGTAAATGACTAGTATAACTCTTTACATTGACCGTATTTACGACAACTTGAAACATCCATGCGCTCATATCAAAATGGGCTTGCAAAATGGGGATGTGGCCTAAAGTACATGAGAAATCGATGTAAACAACGTACCCCTGCTATATTAATCAGATAAATACCAAATAACAGTGCGAGGAAGTAAAAATTGAAATTGAAATTAATAAACTACAAAGTTAGATGGAAAGATTGAAGCAAAAATATGTAGAAAATTTTAATTTAATTTTTTGTAAATTATCGGGGGGCCAGATTTGGACGTTTAAACGATTCATTCTTTTATCGTGCCAACGCCTACCGCGACTCGAGAATTCGAAAGACCCGTGACTTACTTCTAGTGCCGTGCGCTTGGCGAAAAAAACAGTCACTACCTATGTTTATGTCTTATGTTTGACGTGGCGTGATGAACGATAATCGAACCAGGGCTTCCCGATCAGGAAGCGAATGCCCTATCAGATGGCTTCTGTGTTATATATTTTTTTTCATAAACAACATTAAATAATACTTTAGTTTAGTATATAATTACATATTCTCTCCCTTCGGTGAACAATAGTACAACCTAAACCCAGGAAAACATCTTTATTTTGATATCAATGGCTTCAATAACAATAAAAATCCACCAAGAATCAAAGAGATCCCCATGAGGTAGAATCCACCCACATACGATCCAGTCTTGTCTCGTATAAAACCTGTAAATATAATTTGTATAGAGGCTTGTAGCTTTTACATTTTGTCCACTGAACTATTTTTGAAACTACATGTACATTGCACTAATCTTTATTCTTCGCTAAAGATCTATTCGAGTCTTGCACCCTCATGCATTATATATGACGGAATACATCATTTAAAGAAGAGTTGAAGCTTGGCAGGTGAAGTACAGTGATTCAAACTTACCGACTAATGTTGATGTAATAGCAATTGATGTCCTTCTTGTTACCGTGCCAATAACTAAACCATGGCTAAGTTTTTCTAATCCAATGAAATCAACTATTAGAACGTTCGTCAATGAATAGTATGTACCACCAAATGACACTTGCAGAATTCCAAATACTGACAGCGTAATAAAATCGTTATAGAACGATGCAATCAGACAGACAATTCCATTTGCTATAATTACTATGGTCATCATATGACACCTTTGGATCTTTTTATTATCAGAAATAAATATGAACAAAGTTCTTCCAATGAAATCATTTGCTGCTGAAATCGTGAGGAGGTCTCCAATCATATCTTGTTTGTAATCTTTTGTCTTTTGCAAACGGTGCAATGTAGCTCACAGGAATAGTAAAACCAGCAGCAACAAGAAAAGAAAACACCATTAAAATAACAAATTTGGCATCTTTGAACAGAGAAAAGTCAAATAACACAAACAAAAACTGAATGCAACAATTCCTCTCTTCATTTATTTAGAAGATGCAAAGTCCATTTGGTTCTTTGATTTTGCCGCATTAATCATATCCAGGGATACGGTACTTGCAAGGTTCATTGAGTTTCCACACAATTCTACTGACTGTATTTTGCTATTTCGTATATGCGTAGAATCAATGTCAGTGAATGTGATTTCCCATTTAAATTGATAAGTGAATGAAGAGAATGTTTAGAACCAGTGAACGTATTTTGGATATCATATTCAATGGTTAATTTATTTTCCTTGTCGTTAAGGATAAGACATTCGTTATGATCCTTTATATCGGATATCTTGTTTTGTTTTTCATTCTTATTTTCTCTCTCAGTAGTTTGTTCTTTGTCAATTGGTCTAATAAGTTATCCAATAGGAAGGAAATGAAGATACAATCCGCCTGCTATAGTGAGTGTTCCTTTCAAACCATATTCACTAAAAAGAAAGGTTAACAGAAAAGGCAAGGCCAAGCCTCCAAAATTCCACCAACATTAGCAATTGCATTGGCCATTCCACGATGTTTTTCAAAGTATTTTCCTACCATCAACATTGAAGGCAGATGGGCAAAGATTGCTGATATAGATGTAATAGTGAGAAAAGTATCATATTAAGTACATTTAAAAAAACTTATTTGATTTTGAACGTTACATGTAGTTATGTACCAATTCTTAAACAATAAATGATGTGCAGAATATAACGCCATACGAGGGGCGATCAAACAGTTCGCGAACTAACTGAATAACTTCCACAAAAGAAACAAAATCGGGTTTTAGTGTTTATCTTTTGTAAAGAATACCCCTCCTGTTTATTTACACATAAGACAGTGTTCTGTCCAGGCATGAAACACGAGGTCCAGGCTGTCACGTGACATGCTCAATAGCGTACTGTTGACATCAGCCCAAAGAATTCCCCGGGTCCTATATTTTTTCCTGCACAGGTTATTTTTTATAATAAGAATAACCAATTCGTCACAAAATACCCCATCTTGTCAATAGAATTGGTGGATAAAGATTTTTTTCCTATTGTGTGAGTATGGTGTCCATAACAACCGACTCTTTTGTCTTGGATGCATCATATGGAGAAATGGTGTTCATTCTGCTCATTTACATATCGGCCATATTGGAGCTGTAATGGCGACAGATTCCATAAAGGATTATATAGAGAACGAACAAAAACCTTCAGATTTTTATATACTAACTATTTCGGATAAAGTTCTTCCGCCGATGTTTAGATTTTTCTTAATATCTTCTACCGGAAATGACAATATTGTTGATGCCAAAGTGAAAGTTGCGACCGCCTTTTTGATTTGAAATTCCGAAGCGAGAGTATAATGTTTTAATGAAGGAAAGAGCACAGAATTGGTGTCTTTATCATTTTTGGTGATTAAATGTAAGTGTTTATCATAAGTTGACAGAGTTCTTCCGCCGATTGATAGGTGCAGGCGAATGCCTATTTTTATAAAATACAGATGATTTATCATTTCATGAAGAGTTACGACCGCCTTTTTAATTTGAAAACGGCAATTTCTTGCATCAGTGTGACCTACTTATTACCAAAAAAAGATGGTTTCATGAGTTGTCAACTGTTAATAACCCAAATTCTGCCCAAATAACTATGACGGAGGCTTAAAAAAACAGAACAAACTGTGCTTGCAGGTTTTGATACAAAAAATTTAAGAAAAGGAATATTTCGAGTTTATGCAGGATCTTATGAATATTAATGAGAAGTAAATCACGTGGGAGCAACCTCATGAATAAACTGTACATCATTTCTCCATATGTCGTTTATCCAGTGTGGATCAAGTATGGGTGTTTTCTCTTTATCATATCTGATCTGTTGACAGCTTAAATTAACAGAAATTTTAGGGGTTTAGAATTATTTTATTATTAAGATTTTCAACTATTTCTCTAACCGTGAGTCGGCCATCTTTCATTACAAATTCCTTAACTAAGGACGTCTCTTTCAAACTCACTTTCACAAGGTACCCAGAACGAACTTCAGTTTTAACCATCTAAAGCTACCTACCATCACTAAAACAGTTCATTCAGTTTACTTTCTGGCAAGTCCTTTGTTGCCATAATTTTTATACAAATTACTCTGATCCTTCGACGTATTTGGCTTAAGTCTTTGGTACCTTTTTCATCTTTCAAAGTCTTTTTCATTATATATATTGTGGATTTCCAACGTTTCAGCACGACCATCACTGAAGAGACATAATTTGTCGAAATGCACATAAGGTGCATCAAAACTGGTACCGTATATGATTTACATTATATATTGCTGCAAGGGATTTTTCAAGATTTACGTGAAACACTACAGATGTTCCTTCCTCGAGTACAACTTATTAATCCATGTTTTGTCCCAAGTCATCTACATATTGACGTCATTTTCCCACTGTGACGTCAAAAACATGAAGCAACATATTATTTAACACATGCTATTTATATATAGAAAACGTTTATGACTTTTTGATGTGAATTGTGGTCATGTAGATACAGAGATAGTTTTTGATCACCCCTCGTACGTTGTACTAATGATAAGCGTCGTTGTTTCAATTTAAAAATGAGAAATCAAAAGCAATTAATTTTTAAAAACATGAAGTGTTTAACAATGGGAATTAAATGTATTGATACATTGAATTGATATCAGATGTGCAAATATATCTGAAAGGTTTTTTTTTTTTTTACAGATAATAGTATGATGTTGAGCGTAAAGTTTGCTTAAATGTCTCCAAGTTCTGTAGTTTCTATAGTTTCTATCCATTTTTAATCCAATAATACAAAAATCTGCATGGAAGGAACTGTAAACTATTCATATCTTTGGTTATTCTGCAGGAATTGAAATCATAAGAGGCCAAAGTGGTGTCTGGAATGATTTTTGTTTATACTTTTTATATTCTTTGCTTGGCGCATTCACTTATTTAAAATAAATATCATATCATACTAATACTAAAAATCACAAAGAAACTTCGTAAGTTGAAAAATTCAGGGGGAGCTGGATGAAAAATAAAAATTTATCCCATTTTCCCCTTCATTACCATGAATCTACCTTTATTTTTGCTTATTTGCTTTAAATAAAATAATAAAGAACCAATTTTCATTTTGATATTGATTGATTGGAATGATTATGTTGTCTTTTTACATAAAAAAAATAAGATATTGTATTTTACGGCAATTCTGAAGCCCTGAGTGATGTCATCCTTAGTTAGCATAGGAAATTGAAGCCAAATTTGCAATGAGATTGTGATATGTGACTAAGGTCCTTTTACCATTAAGAAAATCCTGTACTCAATTTATCGATCATCCTGATTCCAGATACATTCAGTGTGCGTATTGATACTCCATAGATATATTGAGACTACTTATAGACATACGGACCTTAAGAACTAATTTGATGAAATATGACATCACACAAACCAATGTAACATAAACATTAGAGCTAATGTTGTCAGCCATATAATATTCTCCACGGGTATATTGAGACTGCTCACCGGAAAAAAATGAATGGCTGGCCCGAAATCAAACCTGGGACCCCTGTACATGTGCTCTAACTATCAAACTACCCAGGCAGATATAAACGACCCAAACCATTACATCTCTTTCCTTATTTTTTTCGCCCTATTTACATGTAATTTTCGCCCTTGTTAAGATTAACAAACCAAGTTCTTTTTGCCCCTGGCGGGAATTTCACCTGCAAGTCCATGGAAAGTCAAATGGAAAGTCAACGGCACCAAATCATGTAACGATAACAGAGAAAATGTATGGAAAGACCGGGAATCAACCCGTGACGCCTGCATCACTTGTCTAGCGCTTTAATTTAATAATCGAGAAACAAGGCCAAAAAAGTCTGCTACATACCAAGAAGGACAATCCATGCCCATTTATTGTCCACAGAGGATGACAAACTTTTTCGATAATTGAAAATAGCCATCGGTAGGAATTAAAATAATTTTGCTCCGTAAACCAAATTTGAATAAAAAAAAAAATAGTATACGTATCACACAATGCTCCTTTTGTATAATTGGAGAAACCAGTTAATAACTAAATATAACAATGACTCATTTTACATCACATCTATTATAAGGATGGAATTTAACTCTGATTATTAATTTATTTCTGAGAAACTCAATCTTACTGATGATGATAACAACTGTAACTTTCCAGAAGCCTCAGAATGGCATTGTTGATATCACTTTCACTTCAAATTTTACTGAACAAATTATTTAAATATATAATGTTATATATATATATTACGAAAGCCGGATAGGCTCATTTTTGACAAGACAAAAAAAATATTTAACTCGTTATAACGAGATAATTATCTCGTAATAACGAGTTAGTATCTCGTAATAACGAGTTGGTATCTCGTTATAACAAGTTAATATCTCGTTATAACGAGTTAGTTATCTCGTTATAATGAGATAATTATCTCGTTATAACGAGTTAGTTATCTCGTTATAACGAGTTAATTATCTCGTTATAACGAGTTAGTATCTCGTAATAACGAGTTAGTTATCTCGTTATAACGAGATAATTATCTCGTTATAACGAGTTAGTTATCTCGTTATAACGAGTTAGTTATCTCGTTGTAACGAGTAA